ACACGACATCTGCGCACCTCAGGCCTTGCTCCGGCTGGTAGAAATCTGTGCTGACTGCGGCTGCGCGAGCCCGGACTTCATGGACCCGCCCGCCTACGCAGCGCCTGCCGGCACATCTGGGCCCCTCCCAGGGGCGGGAACTCCTCCTCCCGGAAGTGTTCCCAAGAACCGAAGCGATGGTGGCTGGGCGCTAGTCGTAGCCACCGTCCGCACTAGCACACCCCGCTGGGACCCTGGCCGCCCCGCCACCGAAACCCAACTTCAGCAGTAAATAACGGAGGGCTATTGCTTGTCCTTCGATGTCAACTGACATCTAAAACAAAAGACACCTCTTCTCCCCCCGCCCCAGTACCGGGTTCCCCGTGAAAATCTTTTCCTGAGAAAGCAAAAACGGGGTGTTATCTTTAACTCATTTTAGCTTGAAGATCTCACAGGTTGGCACTTTGTTTGTAACAGGTTTTGGCCTGAAATTCAACCTTTTATGTGGGTGGAGGGATGCCCTTTTTTCCTCCGGTCACAGCGTTTCCTTTTCAGTGCTTCGATTAGGCTGTTTCACAGACAACTCAAGCTCAACGTAGTGCCCCGCCCAGCCCCGGACCGGCCAAAAAAAAAAAAATTCCCTCCAACCAGAAAATGTGCGCTTACAGCGGTTAAAGTATGTATTAAAGGCTCAAGAATTAAAACAGTGTGGTTCCTGTGTCTGACATTAAGATCAATGAAACAATGGAACCGCCAGAACATGGTACGGGTATACAACATTGGGATTAATCGAAAGAAAAAGGTGGCATCACAAATCAGCGATAAGGGTGGTACCCTGTATGTGGATCTGTGGTAGAAAATAGGAAGTTGAGTGCAGGACTCACCCTGTACCTCACCTGAAAACACAAAAGTTCTTGAGGAAAACACTGGCGAATTCCCTTACCGTCACATCAACTACAATCCCAAAGCAAGAAATCATAAAATAGCTGAGTGATAAATTCAACTGTACTAAGAAAACTGACTTAAAAACACAAGAGCTGAGAGATGCTCATGATAGCTTTCACCTTGCTCTTTGAGCTATTCATTTGGTCTGTGCAGTTTAATGTAATGTGTTTTATTTTATAATAAAAAGTTTGCTTTGTTTTTTTTTAAAACCACCATAAGCAAAATTAACAGACAAACTGGGAAAAAAAATTTACATCTCATATTGTGAACAAAAAACTAACATCCACCAAACATAACAATTAGCTCCTAGAAACTACTAAAAATATCAACAAGCCAGTAGGAATATGAATTGACACAGGGTTCCTGACCCTTCAACAAATTAAAAGACTCACTCTTGGAAAGATAAAGGCAAGTTTTTAAAAACCTGAATGGTCTCTTGAAAGATTTCCCTTGAAAATCTAGGTCCGATCCTTTTTTACCTTCTGGCTTAAAACCTGCCAAGCGCTGCCCATCTACTCGGGTGTGTGTGTGTTTTATCGACGAGGAATCATTCTGTCCTCATCTGTTAGCTGTGTATGGTTTATTCCTCCATCAAAATCACTTTTAAGGATCTAGTGAAACCAAAGCACCTACTTCTTGTCCTTCCCTGCCATTAACTGTTCAATATTTCATCCTTTAATGGAAAACCACAGCTGATTTATGCATCAGGTTGTTACAGTTGTTCAGTGATATGAACTAACCTAACAGGTTTGTGCCTGCCCCACATGAATACGTCCTGAGACAACAGAAGTCTAGAAGTGGTTTCAGAGTAGTGGCTTTCAACATTACTCACTTTGTCCCTTCAAACTTCCCCACCTAACAAAGTTTGAAACATGCAGACCAGAGAAGTATTAAGGAGGGAGGAATAGCTGGGGTGGGGGGCAATCTGTGAAGGAAGAAGGCCTGAGATAATGCAGCCACATCGAAGAACAGCTGTGCTCACTGCCCTGCTTCTGTGGTGGCAGGTCAGGGAGCCCCGGGCTCCAGCTGCTTGAGTTTCTCCTGCAGCCCCTGGAGCTGGCTTCGACCCCAGTCGATGCGGATCTGAAGGCTGGCCATGTCTGCAGCCAGCTGCAGACCTAGAGGAAGAGGAGAGACTGTCACCATGTATCTGTGGTGACAAATGACTCAGGGGGCTCTGGACATCCCCAGGCCTCTCTGGCCTTCACACTTCCTAAAACATTCCAGGTATAGCCTTGCATTGGCTCCTCGAGAACCTCACTGGACCCATACCCTCATGTCCTTCAGGTCGTTGCTAAAATGTCACCTCCTCAGATACTTCCTTGACCCCCTTATATCACCCACCAGGAACTAAAAATTCACAGATCATAATATAGTCTCATGCCCTTATTTCCTTCCTTCTTTTCTCCATTATCACAGCCCCTCACTGCTCTTGTCCTCTCTCCTTCTACCTGTTTTCTCTGCCTCCAAGATTGGTCCACACTCTGGATCCACCTCTACGTTGCTTTCACCTGATGCTTCTCCTGGAACAGCTGCTGTCAAGTCCTCTGGGCCATCCACACCACCCAGTCCACTGGCCAGTCCTGTCTTCAGCCTAACTGCCTGGCAGCAGAGCTGGCCACACACCTGATCACCTCCCTCCAGGGCACATCTTACTCTCTTGGTGTTGCTCCTGCCTCACTGTTGCTTCTAAGTCTCCTCGACTGGTTTCTTCCCTTCTTTTTTCTCTTACTTCCTGTCCACATTCCCAGGACCTCTGCTGATCTTATCTCATTTCAACTTTAATGCTGTGTCTGTTAGCAACTTGGGAATTTAAAACCAGTGTTATGCAGTGGGCTCCCAAATCTCTCTCTCCAGCCCAGTCCTCTTCCAAACTCCAGGTGCATGTGGCCAACCATCTGATCAGAATCTCCACCACACAGTACCAGGAACACACCCCACACCACTCCTGACTTCCCCTCGGCTGTTGCTGCTCCGCAGCCCTCCCACTCCAGGTGAGGACATCCACCCTTTCAAGCATTCTGGCTAGAAACTGTGGGCTCATCCTTCACTTCACTCCTTCCCTTACTGCCCAGTTAATCTGTCAGCAAATCCTGTGGCTTTTACTTGAAAAAACGGGCAGCTTTCCACCACTTACCCCATCCTCCACTGCCCTCCCCCCGCCCCCTTCCACTAGACCACTGGCCTCCTCTCTGCCATTCCAGATACAACCTTGCCTCAGAGCTCTGCCCTGGCTGGTCCCTACACCTAGAACACTGTCCCCCCAGATCACCAAAGCTCTCTCCTTCATCTCTTCAGAGGCCTTTCCAGGCTACCATTCAAAAAACAGCTTCCCCAGCTCACTCCATACTCTACCTTATTTTTTCATAGCAAGTCTCATTATCTGGTATTATATTTAGGGCCTACTTATTTGTTTGCATGTTGTTTTTCTGTTCTCAATAAAATAAACATCCCATGAAGCTGTTTGCCCCTTTTGTTTACTGCCAGCACCTAATATGAACCTGGAACTCTGCCAACAGCGAATAAACGCTTTTTGAAAACACAGAAGGTGTGCAACAAAAGTCTGCAATGGAGAAAACCTGCAAAGCCCTTTGCAGGCTAATCCCAGCCCTGGCATTAGTGCTCAAGTGCTCCCTGTAGATAGGGGGTCCACTCACCCTCCCGGAAGCTGGCTTGAGCTTGCCGTAGACTGTGAGGAACCAGGATTCCAAACCAGTTCAGAGGGTCCTGGGGAGCTGGGGAGGGGTCTGGCTCCGGGGTCCTCGTGAGACCCTTGCGCCTGCGCAGAACTGTAAAAAGAAAGGCTGGAGGTTGGGGGGCTTGTTACCTGGCCCTTGTTTTCTCAGTGACACAATGTTAAACTTCATTTGAGCTCATGATCCTAGAAAATACCGATAGTTGGAAAATCCTCTCAACCTTTTATGTTCTGGAAAACAGCTTACTACATAGAACCACCCTTCCCCTCGTGGTTCATGTGAATCTGTCCACTCTTTCTCTTGACTATCATAAAACCAGCAAATGACACCCCTTGTTTACCCGTGAAAAAGCCACACACTGACTTTTCCCATTTCGCCTGAACATGCTGAAAGGCCAGACAGACCCTTCAACTCCCTGTTCTTTGTCTCACGAATGATTAACTGAGATTAGAAGCTTGTCCCGCTGAAACTAGCTAGACAAAAATATCTTCTGCTCAGCTGAGACTTCCTCTGATTGCAAAACAATCCCAACTACAAAGGACCTCACCTATAACTTTCTCTCTCTCCCTGTAAAAGTCTAAAGCAAAAAACCACTCTGCTGAGACATTCTACATTCCGATCTTCAGGTCTGGGGTGCTCTCTCTATCGTAACAGCCTAAATAAAATCATCTCCTCTGTTGTCCTGTGCATTTTGTCTTTGACATCGGAAGGGGCCCTACGGGAAGAAGGGGCGGGGGGACTCACCTGCCTCGCGGGGTCCCACCTCCTCTGGAGTCTGGGTGCCGGCTCTCACCATCCAGAACTTCTGGGGTCCGTCCTGGGCCTCGCTATAGAACGAGAAGGAAGGCTGGACCTTTGGCGGCCCCGACCTGGCCCCTGCCTGCCCACCCGCTGCAGCGTGAAAGGGACCTCACCTGGTGCAGACGCGGACCTGTGGCTCCATGCGGGAGGCATACTGCAGAGGCCCTACCGACTTCGCACCCATGGCGTAGCGAGCTTTGGAGAGCGAGAGCCAGCCCTGGGAAGAGAGAGGAGAGCGGTGAAACTCAGTAACCTTCACGTGCCGGCCCGCCCGCCCCAGGCTCCCACCTCCTCCACCCGGGCGTTCAGCGCCGCCCGCTTCGCCTCCAGTTCCTCCAGGTCCCCGAGCAGCTGCAGGAGAAGGGAGTCCAACTCGGCTCGCGGGCCCCGCGCCGCCATGGGATCCACACACAGTCAGTAGCCGGCTCCCCAGGTCGCCCAATCAGCGTCCGCCGTGCCAGAAGGACAGCCAATAGGCGCGTGAGGTCCGTCCCCCGAGGGGGCGTTCCCAGCCTTGGGCCGAGACGCCCACTGGGTGGAGGCTACTCGCTGAGTTCCTTTCAGGATAAGCACCCTCAGAGCAGCGGCCCGGGGAGGTTATTAGCGCCTCGTCACGCGAGCACCGGAAGGGGACCAGCCACCCGGACAGTCGGCGGGAGCTGTGGGTGTCTCCGAATCGCTTTTGGAATCGGCCGTTTTTTAAAGTACGGCTGTCGCAGTGGCGATGGAAGGAGGCATAGCTGTTCGGCAACCATTTTAAGGGAGGAGCGGCTTTAAATTCAATTCTAGAACCGGCCGCTAGGCGATCATCCGGTCAATCGCTGTGCAGCTTTTACAGTTGCTGCACTATTTCGAGCCTACAATTATTTTTAGCTGTTCGTCGTCTTCTAATTAACATCCCGTTCCGCACGTTAGGTAGTGAAACCACGGCCGACGCCTTTATTAACGGCCGTTCTAAGCCACGTGACAGCACCTTGACAACTCCCTCCCCCACCGCCTAGTGGTTGCTCCAGCTTCGGGCTGGCCAATCGCCTTGCGACTCCCAGCCATTTTAACTTTGGGCATTCTCGGCAGCAGCAGAATCTAGTGAGGCCTCTAGCGGCCTTCTCGGTTGAGGGCGGAAGGGACGACTGCGTGGTGCCGGCGGCGCCAGAAGAGAACTGCTGGACTCACGTGGAAGTTGCGCCCAGGATGGTAATAGGGATGTTTAAGCTCCTGTTTTGGAGGTCGGGGGCTCGCGGAGGCTGGGGATGTGGCCCGTGGGCTCGGGGCGGGTGTTTCCCGGGCCCGGTCTTGCGCGGCGAAAAAGGTTTGTCTGAGCGGATCTGCTGTTTCCCAGCTGCGCCGCGAGGCCCGCCTTCGCCGCGAGTACCTGTATCGCAAGGCCTGTGAGGAGGCTCGGCGAACAGCCCAGGAGAGGAAGGACAAGGTTCGGCGTGCGCTCGAGGGTACGTCTGTCCCCGCCCCCCAGTCACGGTAAAGACCCTTGGGCTTTCCTGTTAAAACCCAACGGGAAAAAGGCCAGTGGTGTCAAACGCTTTTAATTAGCATTTACTTGTGTTAGTATGGTGAGTATCTTTTCAAGTATTTACTGGTCATTTTCCTTTCCTGTTGGATCTTCCTGATGGGTTGCAAATGTCGATTGCATGATGGTGTGAATTACTTGTCGTTTATGCTGCAGTATCCAGATTTTACAACTTGCGTAGTGATTTTATTTACAGTGTCTAGGTCTTCCCAAATTTAAACATTTCACGTGGTCCTATATTTATTTCCCCTCTGTCGTTTTTATTCTTGCTACTTTTTTTCACTACAAGGTAACAAGAATATCTTATTGTCTTTTAGTGCTGTTATGACTTCCTTGTATTTTGAAACTGTTCACTCGTGTAGAACTGAATTTTATTTGCGTTGTAAATTAGGAATTTAACTTTGCAATATTTTCCGCGCTTTCCATTTGCCGTACTAATGAAGAGCCTGTCACACATGCCGGATTGGAAATGCCGTATTTATCCGTATTTTGTTGGTTCTCATGTTGGTGGAGTTCTGTTTCCTATCTGATAGTACATCAACTCCATATCTCTATTTTAGATTTATTTTGATTTTCTTAGGTTTTAGACATATAAAGTATATGAGGTATGTGTATGTAGTACTTATGTCAAGCATAAAGTTAAACACCTGTGACCTATCTGCCCGTGTTAAGAAATGAAAAATGATCAATATATTTAAATTCAGAAATATTTCCTCCAACTTAGATAAACACAGTATTGAATATTGATTAAAAATGAACCATTTCTTTTTGAGGATTATCATGCTTGTTTGTATTCTTAAATCATATTGGTCGATTTTTAGTTGTAAAGGTAGTACTAGGTTGCGTGTATTCTTTTGCAGCTTTCTGTTTTGGTTCAGTGTTGTTTCTAAGATCCATTGAGTGTAGGTGGGGCTCCTGCAGGTTAATATTCTACGGGGTCTTCATCCATTTCCCTGTGGGTGGTGTTGAGCTTATTTTTAGTTTGGGGCAGGCCTGCTGCTGTGAACATTCTCTTCCATGTGCAAGAGTTTGTCCAGGGCATGTTGGAGGGACCTGCTGGGTTCAAGGGCATGCTCCAAAGTGGGCATGCCCACAGCCTAGTCCCTCTGCCAAGTCTAGCATTAGTTCACAGAGGAAACCTCTGACCCAGAGCATCACGATTAATGATTTTATTGTAAGAGGGTTTCAGGGTTTCTGGTCCACCTTTGTATAGAAAGAGCAGTTTCCATTTATTCTTTAAAAATTAATTGTTAGTTTTTTTCTAACTATGAAGGGAGTGCATACTTGTGATTAAGTATTTTAGAAACTCTTCAAGTCTGGAGACTCAGGAACCATAGTAAATGAAATCTCCTATAACCACTGTTAGCAGGTTGGCATGTAGCCAAAAATAGTTTTATCCCTCTCCCCCAGTTATGTATCACCTCTCTGCTCAGAAAGGAGTAAAAGGGGTATTTTCCCATCAAGTTTGTTCAGTGTTGTATAAACTGAAGGCTCCATGCATGTGTCTCACTAGCCCCTCTGTCTTCCCTCTGCAGAGAACCGCCTGATTCCCACCGAGTTACGCAGGGAGGCTCTGGCCTTACAGGGTTCCCTGGAGTTTGACGATGCCGGCGGTGAAGGTGACGTTCCCTGACCCTGTGAGCCAGCCTCACTCCCTGCCGTTGAGCCCACTGGCTTCCATGTCATTCCTCAGACACCTTGAAGAAACGTTGTGCAGCTCCCACTCCTGAAACTGTCCCCCAGGTGCCCTCGTGGCTCTGTACAGATGACACCTCAGGGGACCTCTCCTTGAGTGCTTCCAATTCCATTTACATGGCACAGTATTACCCCACTTTCTGCTTTGCTTTGTCTGTTGATTGTCCGCCTTACTAGGACGGTGGGCTCTGCTGGGGCAGAACAGTGTCCATTTTGTTCATTGCTGTGTCCTCAGCTATCAGCACTTCATTGGCACTCAGGTGTCTCATTCACTGCATCATTCAACAAATATGAAAGGAATCACAAACATTATAAATATTTGTTATGAGAGAATGGAGCCTGATACCTTTGGCCTTAACAGAATCTGGACTAACGTGGTAGCTACTAGCTCCATGTGATTACTACAGCTTCAGTGAACTAAAATTAAATCAAATATAAAGATTCAGTTCCTTGGTCACACTTGTGTTTGTAGCCAGTGTGGCTGGGGGCCACCCTGTTGGCCCAGAGCAGGTAGAGAGCCTTTCCATCCTTGAAGGTATCGTCAGTGCTAGGTGGATTTGGCCACCTCAAGTTAGCATTTCACTTCTCTAGACAACGTCATGTTCTTACGCCTCGTGCTCCTAACAGGTGTGACCAGCCACATGGATGATGAGTATCGATGGGCAGGGGTTGAGGATCCCAAGGTCATGATCACTACTTCCCGAGATCCTAGTTCCCGCCTCAAGATGTTTGCAAAGGTACCAGTAGGTGGGAGTTAGTGGGAGATGCTCAGGCCCCAGGAGCCCCAGTCCTAACCAGAGGGAGTTCATATGCAGGAGCTAAAGTTGGTGTTCCCAGGCGCCCAGCGCATGAACCGTGGCCGGCATGAGGTAGGGGCGCTGGTGCGAGCCTGCAAAGCCAACGGGGTCACTGACCTGCTGGTTGTCCACGAGCATCGAGGCACGCCTGGTAAGACTGAAGGGAGGGAGCAGGGTGCTGCCATGATGGCTGGCTGGGAGCAGAGGGTCTCTGACGGCTTACCTGGCCCTGCCAGTGGGGCTTATTGTCAGCCACCTGCCCTTTGGCCCAACCGCGTACTTCACGCTGTGCAACGTGGTCATGCGGCATGACATCCCCGACCTGGGCACCGCGTCGGAGGCCAAGCCTCACCTGATTATGCATGGCTTCTCCTCCCGCCTGGGTAAGCGGGTGAGTCTGAGGCCGTGGGGTGAGGACTGGGGGCCTGGAGTGCCAGGCTGGGCATTTGCCACTTTTCTTCCTTCTGCCCCAGGTCTCTGACATACTCCGCTACCTGTTCCCTGTGCCCAAAGATGACAGCCGCCGGGTCATCACCTTCGCCAACCAGGACGACTACATCTCCTTCCGGTGGGTCAGTGGGCTGGGCCCGAATGGGGTCTTGACCTTTGTGTCCCTGTGCTGTTTGTTGTTGACCCCGAAGCTGCTCCCTGCCTCCCCTCACTCCTACCCTGCCCCCCTTGCCCCAGGCACCATGTGTACAAGAAGACCGACCACCGCAATGTGGAGCTGACCGAGGTTGGGCCTCGCTTTGAGCTGAAGTGTGAGTTTGGGGCTTTATCCCACATCTGGTGAGGGGCATGCTGGCTGTGTAAGTGACCATATCTCATCCCCCTTCGCCAGTGTACATGATCCGTCTGGGCACGCTGGAGCAGGAGGCCACAGCAGACGTGGAGTGGCGCTGGCACCCCTACACCAACACCGCACACAAGAGGGTCTTCCTGAGTGCTGAGTGAGCCCACTCACTAGTCAGGATGTGGACCTGGACCCGGGAGCTGGGGAGAGGTCAGAATAAAGTCTGCTTGCCACAGCACCCTGCTAGCCTCTGAGTGGCCAGGACAGGGCTGTCAGGCTGAGCGTGAAGGATGCGGGGTCCCCTCAGCTGGGGACCTGATAGCTCTGGGACATTCTCAGGCCTGGTGGTGACATCGTGTCTAGGACAAGGCAGGCCTGATGTGCTGGCTTGCCCCTGGGCCGCAGAGGGTTTGGTGCTACCCTGGGAGATTTGGTGCTGCTCTCTGTCACTCAGGAGTCGGGGGCCTGTGACTTCATCATCTGGGAGTGGGGATAATAATGTGAGCACGGAAGTCTCACTTAGAGCAGGGCTTGGCGCTGGGGCCAGCTCTCAGCCAGAGACAGACAGAAAATAAACAAGAGGCAAACCATTTATTCACTTCATTGTGGCCTCCTTTGAGTGTAATTAAAGTTCCTCAGAGAACCCAGTGCACTTGGACTCACTAGTAGTGGAAAGCTTTATAATGACCATCTTTCCCTTTAAGGATCTCCTTAGGCTCTCCCTGGATTACCGAGGATATTTCTAGGTTATCTAGGATGTCTGGTATGTGTGGATTCACCACTCTTTGATGGTCGCACACTCAAGTTGTTTCCTATTTTTACTACCACAAACATTGCTTCAAGAACATTGAACACACCTCTGTGCATATTTATGCGAGTATATCTGATGAGTAAACTACTGCAAGTGGAATTGTGTCTTGAAAATGATTATAGATGCTGCAGAATTGTCCTCCAGGAGGCTGTCTCTCCCAGCCACTATCATCAGATCTGAGTGTTTCCTGTGTCCTTGTAGGCACTGTGAACTGGCAGACTTTGCATCTTGCCCGAGCTCTAGGTGCAAAATGGGTCCTCAGTTGAATTTGCATTTCTTTAATTATGACAGAGGTTATGCATCTTCAAATACTCATTGACTATTAGTGTATGTGTATTCTCTGTGACCTGTTAGCTCTTTATAGAAACAGTTGTTCACCTCTATGTTGATTGATTAAGTCTTTTAATTGTGGAGAATTCCAAACATAAGAGCTGAGAGGACTGTACAGTGAGTCCATGAGCTCATCTCAATGTTGACCAGTCTGGTTTCCTTCATAGCCCCACCCACTCCCTTTATCCACTCCATTCGTTTATTTTGAAGCAAATCCCAGACACCATATCATTTCATCCATAAATATTTCCATATATCTCTGAAAGATAAGACTCAACAGGAATAATAATACCACTGTCGCACCTAAAAAGTCAACAATTATTCCGAATTCTACATGTTAATGTTCAGTTTTCCCTGGTTACCTTACGTTTGTTTGAACTAGGATCCAACTTGGGTCCATTCATTGCAAATGATTGACAAGTCTCTTGTCTTTTTTAAAACAGCTTTATTGAGATATAATGCACATGTCCCACACAGTTCACCTGTTTAAAGTGTACAATTAAATATTTTTTTATCATATTCACAGGGTTGTACAACCATCACCACAGTCTAACTTTAGAGCATTTTTGTCCCTCCTAAAAGAAGCTCCGTACCCTTTAGCTGTCACTTCCCATTCCTCTCCAACCATCTCCCAACTCCCAGCCCCCAGCCCCTTGTAGCCACTAATCTACTTTTGGTTTCTATAGACTTGCCTATTCTGGACATTCCATAGGAACTGTAATAGGAAAGAACCTTTTGTATTCTATTACAAGCTAATCACTAAAGGGATGTTGCCTATAAGCTTGAGTTATACATAATGGCTCATCTCTGGGAACCCTGCTTCCCAGGTAATGAGCTAAAATACCTTTGTTTAACCTACAGGAAACATCCTGACCAGGTCCACCTGTAAATGACTGCAGGGAGGAAGAAATTAACACATCCTCTCCAGAGGCTGATGGGAACCAGGAAGTGTTTGATTTTACTTCCTCCTCTTTTAGTATAAAAGGAGCCTGAATTCTAACTCAGGCAAGATGTTTCTTTGGGGCATGAGCCCACCATCTTCTCAGTTTGCTGGCTTTCCAAATAAAGTCTTACTTCTTGTCCAAACAACTCGTCTCTCGATTATTGGCCTGTCGTGCGGCGAGCAGTATGAGCTTCAACTTCGTAACGGAACGGAATCATATGATATGTGGTGTTATTTAGCATTGTTTTCAAAATTTATCCATGTTGTAGCATGTGTCAGTACTTCATTCCTTTTTTTATTGCTAAACAGTATTCTACTGCGTGTGTATACCTTATTTATCCATCACTTTATGAAATTTGGTTTGTTTTTCAGTTTTGGGCTATTTTGATAATGCTGTTATGAGCATCTGTGTATAAGTTCTAAGTCTCTTTTATCCTATAGAATTCTCTCCTTTTAATTTTTTTTCTTTGTAATTTATTCAGTTAGGAAATTGGTTTGTCTTGTGGAGCTTCCAGAGTCTGGAACAAAAGCCCTCCCAAAGGCAGTTACCTCCAATCACTGGTGGATGCAAGCTGCCACTTGTAACTGGAGAGACTGGCATTTTTCCTTTTTTGCCAAATGCCAGACTTGTAGGTGGGCCAACAGGTCAGCCCACACCCAATCCAAAAGTTTGTAACAGAGTGGAGCAGTGGGAGAATTTTTTCAAATTTTTTGTTCCCTTTTGTGGCCTAGCAAAAAAGGAAGTCAGAAGAACTGTTCAATAGGGATGTCAGTAGTCTCAGACTATCTCCGCATAGGCCTTCTAGGTGAGGGTGGTGTCTGCCAGGTTTCTCCACTGTTTAAAAGTTACTATTTCCCCTTTGCAACATCAGCACAGGCTGGGTTATTCACAGTATTGCAAAAGCTTCTCCGAGTACCTTCCAGCATCCTGTCCACTTGGCTCTGTTGGGTGGCCTAGCACTCTGAGCTGGGAAGCAGGTGGCAGACTGGCATGTGGCATGTGGGCGCTGGGGTGCTCAGGATCTTCAGGGCAGTGCCAGCTGCTCCCACTGCTTGGGACTGCTGCCAGTAGGGTGCGCAAGAGGGCCAGCAGCAGCAGTGAGTCCCACTGCAGGAACACAGCTTGCAGTTCTCTGGGACAATGGAGAGGGGTGAGCCAGGGCTGCTGGTGGAGGTCTTGGGGGGTCTTTCCATCCCCTACACCCAGCCTGAGCTGAGAAGAGGGCAAGCCAGGAGAATTTGGATGTTGGAGAGACATGGAGGGATGGTCAGTGTCAGGATGGTGGTCCGGTTAAACAAGAGGAGGGTGTGTAGTAGGAGGTGGACGTGCAGCTAGAAGGACAGACACCCAACCCTGGTGGAAGCATGGCAGGTGGACTAAAGTCTCAGCCACTCTGTTCACAGGCCAGATAGGCAGAAAGATTCCCAAACAGGCAGGCAAACAGACACATAGATCCCTGGCAAGACAGACTTCTAGATAGAGTCCCAGGGAGAGAGAGACTACAGCAGGACAGCCAGACAAATGGACAGATTATTGGACAGGTGGGAAGGTGCTCAGCCAGGGATCCAGAAAGACCTGTGTCCAGACACATGGACACCCCTCCCACCCTACTTCCAGCCAACCAAAAGACAGAATTCCTCAAGGATAGAGCCCCACAATTGTACAGAGAGACCATTAACTCAATGGAGAGACATTCCACTACCCAGTCAACTAGCCAGCCAGACCTTCAGCTTGACAGACTTACTCTTTGCCAGTAGGACCCAGCCTATGAGAAAGGCAGGTAGGTCCTCAGGATAGACAGATGTCTCCTAAGCCAGGGGGACAGATAGACATATACACCCCACCCTGTCAGACAAATAGACCCTCAGCCCCTAGTGGAACAGAAGATCCCAGAGTGCCAGAACCCAGTTGTTGGGTTAGTTGCCCTGCCTCCCAGTCATCACCATAGGTGATATGGATGGCTCACTGACCCTCAATGTTGCCTCTGCTCCCCAGGTAGCACTGGTTTCCAGTCATCATTGACATCCAATGACATTCACTACCAGCAGGGTCCATAAAGCCCTTTCTTGATCCCATAGTGGCTGTTCCCCCTTTACTCTGGTATCCACTATACCCAAATGACTGCCATTAGTATCCATGATTACTCAGGGACTCGAGTCTCTGTGACTCCTCCAGTGGGCCTCCATATTTTCTCAGAGTTCACTGATACTTCTGTATCCTGCCACCCTGAGTCTCCAAGAACCCATGACCATCCAAGAAATCTCAGTGATTCCACTGACATTCACTATTGAGCCCTGGTTAGGGGTCCTCAATGACCTTCCCTGACTCTTTTGACCCCTCAGTTATTTAGTAAACTAACATTCCAAGTCCCAATGGCTCCTCAGTTACTTTCAGTCTCTCACTGACCTCCCAGTGACTGCAATTGACGTCTACTGACAGTCTCCATGAACATCCAAGGAACTCTCACTGGCCTCCAATGAATTCACTATCAATGTCCATCCTCAGTGATCACTGCTGACCACCTTTGAACTCTCAAAGATGACAGTGATAAACACTGAGTCAACAGTGACTCCTACTGACCCCTCAATAAGTGAAACATCCCCACTAACTGGCTTTTTGACCTCTCAGTCACTTAAACTGGGGTCAGCAACCCACAGCCTGCAGGACACACACACACAAATCGTGACACATGAAATTAAAATTTAAAGTCTACAAAGTTTGGGACACAGCCATGCTCATTCCTTTACATGTTGCCTATGGTTGCTTTCACCCTGCATAGCAGAATTGAGTAGCTGGGACAAGGACCAGAGACCCAAGCCCTTTAAGAAACAGTTTGCCTGTTCTTGACTTAACACTGATGAACTAGGTCCACACTCCTCACCCCCGAGGTGAAGGATGGGCTAGCCCATCTACACTGGCCAATCCTCGGCAGGGGCCGTAGGCTTCTCTCTGCTCTCTCCAGCCTCCCCTTGGTGGCCCTGGGAGCTGGGAAAGCAGCTGTCCTCCAGTCTTCTCCACACTTTCTGAAGACAAGAGTGTGGGGACGAAAGAAAATAAGCCCCTTAAAAGCATTGAGAACACCTAGTCCCTTGGAACCCACTCCCAGAGCCTCGATTCTCAGTTTCCCAGAAGGTTTATGCGGGTTGAAATCCTCAAATTAGGACTGGATGCTGGCGCCCCCAGTTCATCCTAGCCCGACCCAGAAAAAGAAGGAGACTCAGGAAATACACGGATTCAGTCTTTCTCACAGCCCAGGTGTCCGGGTGTCATTTTCCCCCGCGGCAACCTCCCCCGACCTCCTTCGGACCCCGCCGAAGCGCAAAGCGCGGGATGGTCCCCACCCGGGGTCCCCCAGGCAGGAGTTGCAGCTCGGTCTCGGCGACCGTCTTTACTCACAGCTGCCACGCCACCCCGGCTCGGATCCGGACACAGCCTAGCTCCCAGAAGACAGAGCCGGGGAGGCCGGGCGAGGACGTGCAGCCATCCGCCCTGCCCGGGCGCGGACCCCGGGTCCAAGAGAGAGGAAGTGGCCATGGGACCGTGCGGACTCAGCCAGCTCACGCGGAGGCCATAAAAAAGGGAAGAGCCAGCGCAGGATCCACGTCCCTGGCCCACCCCGGGTGAACCAAGCGCTCAGGCAGCCGCCCCGGTCCGGGAGCCTGTAGGCGAGGCTGGGGCGGGCTCTGAGTGTCATTGGCCGAGGGGAGGGCCCTGTCCGCCGCTGCGCACTTCCATTGGCTGGCGAGATCTGAGGCGGGGCCTCGGCAGCCTCCCACGGAGTCTACACTAGGTGGGAGCGCGGAGCGCCACAGGTGGACTGGGCACCGCTGGCCGGCAGCGCCATGAGCTGCAGCTTGGACGCGGCGAGGAGCTTCTTGGAGCAACTGGAGGCACGGGGAGGCCGGGAGGGGGCGGTCCTCGCCTACGAGTTCAGCGTGAGTGGCCGAGTTGGCCGGCAGCGCGCCGCGCTTCGGCTCCTTGCCCTGGACGGTCCAGACGTCTGTTCTCCTGTGCGCCCTGCTGCGCTTTGCCTCTTTCTCTCTGTCTCTCTCTCTCTCTCTGTCTCTCTCTCGGCCTCCAGGGCATCTCCTCGCCTCGAGATCTCTCTGTTTTTCTCTCCCCAGCACCTCTCTCTGTCTCACTCTCTCCCTGTCTGTCTTCACCCTCTGCCAGTAGGGTCCCAGAGGGCGATGTCCACGGCCGGGTCGGGCGGGGCCGCACACGCCCTCGGGTCCCTGCGCCCTTGCCGTGCTCCCAGAATCGTCCGGTTGCTGAGCAGGGCGGGCGCTCACCTGCGCTGGGCACGCGACGCCCGGCCGCTCCAGGCGACCAGGCAGTCACTCCTGTGGTCCTGGGGAGGAAGGGGCTGGGGAAAGAGGAACCAAGAGGCCCCGCTGAGGCGAGGGTGTGGACGCCGGCTCTAATAGGCGCTGTGGCCTGTGGCGCTTTATCCGGTCCCTCTGGCCTCAGTTTCTCCTTGGGTGAAATGCGGACATTGATGACTCAACTGGCCTGAGGATTAAAACAACCGGTGTGGGTAAAAAGCGCTTAGCACATCTTGAGCTCTCACTTTGTAGGCGCCTTTGTCACTAGTTTTAAATATTCTAAACTTTACAATGGGGTAGTGCAAGCCGTATGTAAAGAATGCTAACGCAGCAGCGTCGTAGGCATCGCATCTACATGTACTGAGGTATTTTAAATATAATAACATGGAAACGTGCTATGCAAATACAATATATGGTGACATCTCAAATTTAGAAATAAGTTTGGTAAATATATGTATGTATTTAATAAATGACTATATATCGTTGAGTATAATAAAAATAGATAACAGAAACATTTATGAAATAATTTTATTAATAAATAGAAAATATATAGTGAATATGTATAAATATGATTGTAAACTATAATTTACACAATAACATTAGTTAACTTCTTAAAGCAGAATACACATAAATACAACATAGAATTATAATTTATCAAATAAGCAGTTATTGAAGTTCCTAAGTAATAAAATATGTAATAAATAGATAAAAGAAGTTTAAGATAAATCTAAATTTACACAAATATAAAAATAAATATCATATATAAGAAATGCATAATAAATGCAAAATATATAATTTATTCAATATGAAAATGTACATAATAAATGTAAACATAATATCCAGGTAGTACCTGACATCATGTCCATCCGGGTCTGGGTCCAGTCTGGGACAGTAAGCAGTGCCAGCTGCTGGAGGCCACCCTCCTGCAGGCAGCCTCCTGTACTCTCAAGAGTCTTTGGGTATCTCTAGGCCTTGGTTTCCTCATCTATATAGTAAAAATATTAATAGTGGTACCCACTACACTAGTGTGTCCACGAGGATGTAAATGACTTGATGGGCATAAAACACTTAGAATTGTGGCTTGCACTCATCAGGGGGCTTGGTAGGTGTTACTTATTATCATCATGATTATGAATACTTGATGATGGTAACGTGCTATTCACTAATTATAATAATGGAACAGTAGTAAAGCACCTATAGTATCTAGTTACATAAGTAATGTTATTCATTATAATTCATATGCATTGTATATTGTCTTATATATTGTGTATCACCATGTTTGTTATTTTAAATGCATAATATATTACAATTATTGTTCACAATACAATGTAAATACACATTGAGTGTACAGGGGGTAGATGCTCAGAGGTCTGAATTCAATACTCACTCACTCACTGTGCCACTTCCTGGGTGGGACTTTCAGCAAGTCACTCAAACATGTGGTGCCTCAGCTTTCTCACCGGCATGATGGGGACGTCAATAATAGTACCCACTTCGGAGGGACCCTGCAGGTGGTTCAATGCCCTCACCCAGAGCCTGGCACAGAGAAGGCACTCTGAGTCGCTACTATTATGGAATCATAATTAGCAGGCCCTGTGCTATCTGGGCACTGCACTCACCTCTCACAGGCCACGTGCTGTGTATGCCTGTGAGAGTCTCAGTGTCCCAGGACCCTGACCTGGCTCCTCTCTTGCTCTCTTCTCCCTCCCCCGGGTCTTCTTTCTGTCCTCCCACCAGGACATCCAGGCCCGCTCAGCCTCCTGGAAGACAGACAGCATGTGTTCCACTGAGGCCGGCAGTCGACCAGAAAATGTGAGGAAGAACCGCTACAAAGATGTGCTGCCATGTAAGTTGGGGGTGGGAGTGGGGACCTTCTGGAGGGAGTCGGTGCTGCTTTGCATGCCCGCACCCCGAGGCAGTGCAGGTGTTAGCCCGGATTCCCGTGCCACCACTGGGCCCCCAGAACTCTCCCTCCCAGGGCCTTGCTGTGGCTGCATTTCTCTCCAGCAGTCTGCTAGTGCACCTCGATGGGATCCCTGCTAGGTATGCTGTCCCCTGCTGGCTTTCATCTGGGAGGCCGTCAAGGCCCCTGTCACCCACAAACTCCACGTTTCTCACCTCTCCCGCTGGCAGACGATAAGACACGAGTGATCCTTTCCCTGCTCCAGGAAGAGGGACATGGAGACTACATCAATGGCAACTTCATCAGGGTCAGACTGGGCATTAGGGAAGGGGCAGAGGTGGTGGAGAGGACAGCGGGATCTCCATAGTGAACTTAGCCTTTACCAGGGCACAGATGGAAGCCAGGCCTACATCGCCACGCAAGGACCCCTGCCTCACACCTTGCTAGACTTCTGGCGCCTGATCTGGGAGTTTGGGGTCAAGGTCAGCTTTGGGGGGGGTGAGGTATGTCCAATATTCTGGGTCCTCCCTTGGCCCTGATAACCACACCCCCTAAACCAAATCTCCTCCCTTTCCCCTTACCCCTCTTGTCTAGGTGATCCTGATGGCCTGTCAGGAGATTGAAAATGGGCGGGTAGGTGTCCTCAGCCCCTAGAATGCATATCCTTGTGCAGAGAGGAGACAGGAGAAATCTTGCTAGCTCTTCCCTGATGCCATGACTCAATGGCCCAGTTCTTGGTGTGACCCTCACTGTACCTCTGCTAAGCCCACTATTACTATCTTTAATTTTTTTGTTGATCTTTTACCTTTTATTCGTGGGGCTCAACCCCTCTCCTGCTGGTCTTCCCGCCCCATTCCATACCATAGACCATAAGGCCCTATAATTGTGGCTTCCCCAGTACAGCTCTGATCTCTCTTTCCACCTTTCTCCCCTTTATTCACTCCACTCCAACCACCCTGGCCTTTGTTCTGCCTTGGGTCCTATGCTTTGTTCCCACTGCCTGGGACATTTTCCCCTTGGCCTGCTCCATCACCACCTCCAGGTCTTGGCTCAAATGCTACTTCCTCAATGAGATCTTCCTGGATCTCACCCATTTGGAACTCCAAGCACTCTCACTCTCCTTCCCTTGTCCTACTTTCATTTTTTTCTTCACAGTTCTTACCAACTTCTAACATACAAGATAATCTACAAATGTGTTATGTATATTGTTTATTCTGTCTCCCTGATAAGAAGAAAAGTTCCATGAGGGCAGGGATCTTTGTTTTGCCCATTAGCATAAATTAGTTACTCAAAGAATGTATGTCAACATTGAAGGCACATGGTTTCTGCATCCTGGCGTGCTCCATGGACAGGGCTGGGGGTGGGGTAAGTACTGCCCCGGGATGGCTGGCTGATCATGGAGTCTGTACAATCTGTAGTGATGTACCTTCTTCATTCCTAATTTTGATAGTTGGTCGTCTGTCTGTCTCTCTCTCCTACATTGGTCTGGCAAGAATAAAGACAAGCAAACTTTAGTTGTTGTACTAAATCTGTCCTGCTGCCTGTGTTTGTAAATAAAAATGTATAAGAACATAGCCACACTCATTTGTTTACATAGTGTGTATACCTGCTTTCATGCTACAATGGCCAAGTTCAGTAGTTGCAAGTTAAGTACATTGTATGGCTCACAAAGTCTAAACCATTATTATCTGGCCATTTATAGAAAGTTAGCCAATCTCTGGGCTAGAGGCTTATCAATTTTATTATTTTTTCAAAGAAGCAGCTTTGAGTTTTATTCATTTTCTCTATTTTTTTCATGTTTATTTCATTAATTTCTTCCCTTTATCATTTCCTTCCTTCTGGTTTAGGTTTAACTTGCTCTTTTTTTTTTCTAGTTCCTTAAGCTTAGATAATAGATTTGTGATTTTTTTCACATATAAGTATTTTAAAAAATATTTATTTACTTTTTGGCTGCATGGGGTCTTAATTGCGGCATTGGGGATCTTTTTGTTGCAGTGCGTGGGCTCTTAGTTGCGGTGCACAAGCTTCTCTCTAGTTGTGGTGCGCAGGCTCAGTAGTTGCGGCATGCGGGCTCTGGAGCATGTGGGCTCTGTAGCTGTGGCGCATGGGCTCCAAAGTGCGTGGGCTGTAGTTGTGGCACATGGGCTCTCTAGTTGCAGTACGTGGGCTCTCTAGTTGCGGCACGTGGGCTTAGTTGCCCTGTGGCATGTGGGATTTTAGTTCCCCGACCAGGGATCAAACCGGCATCCCTTGCATTGCAAAATGGATTCTTAACCACTGGACCACCAGGGAAGTCCCCACATATAAGTGTTTAATATCATTCATTTTTTTCTACGCAGTGCTCTAGCTACATCTCACAAACTGCTATGTAGTGTCTTTTTCTTCAGTTAGCTCAAAATATTTTCTACTTTCCCTTGTGATTTCTTCTTTGACCAATGGTATTTGACCATGGCTGTGCTTAAATTCCAAATATTTGAGGGCTTTTCCATATATCTTCCTGTTATTAATTTTCAGTTCCATTGTGGTCAAAGAACAACTTTATATGATTCAAATGTACTGAAACTTGTTTTGTGGCCATGAATGTGATCTATCTTGGTAAATGTTTTGTGTGCACTTGAAAAGAATGTGTATTCTGCTTTGTTGAGTGGAGTGTTCTATAAATATCAGTTAGGTCAAATTGAGTGTGTCTTTTTGAAAGACACTTTAATATCTTCTATATCTTTACTGTATCTTCTATATCCTTACTAATTTCTTTTCTCTAAATGTTCCATCAATTGCCAAGAGAGGAGTGTTGAAACTTCCAACTGTTCTATAACTGTGAATTAGGACAAGTTTCTCAATAGTATTATTCAAATCTTATTATTCTTACCTTTATTTTTTTCTTTTTGGCCATGTGGCATGTGGGATCATAGTTCCCTGACCAGGGACCGAACCTGTGCCCACTGCACTGGAAGGGTGCCCCCTGCAGTGGAAGGGCAGAGTCTTAACCACTGGACTACCAGGGAAGTCCCTATTCTTACTTTTTTTCATCTACTTGTCCTATTATTTGCTGAAAGAGGAGCGTTGAAATCTCTAACTCTGATTTTAGATTTATCTATTTCTCCTTTCAGTTCTGTCAGTTTTTGCTTCAGATATTTTACAGCTCTATAATTGAGTGCTTATACAGTTAGGATTATGTCTTCCTGATGAATCAATCCTGTTTTCAATATGTAATGTCCCTTTTATCTCTAAAAGGAAAAGGGTAATATCCCTTTCTCTAAAGTGTACTTTGATATTAATATAGCCATTTAAACTTCTTTAGATTAGAGTGTGCATGATATCTCTATTTTAATTCTTTTACTTTTTATCTGTGTTCATTTTTATTTATTTTATTTATTTTTTTGGCTGCACCACGGGGCTTGCAGCCTCTTAGTTCCCTGAGCAGGGATTGAACCCATGCCCCCTGCAATGGAAGTGCAGAGTCCTAACCACTGGACTTCCAGGGAATTCCCCATTTTTATTTTTAAACTGTGTTTGTTATAGCTGGTATATTGTGGGTACTTACTTTTTTATCCAGTCTGACAATCTCTGCCTTTAATTGGAGTATTTAGTCTTTAATGTGTCAATAATGTGTCTAAATCTATGATTTTGCTATTTGTTTTCTATTTGTTCCATCGGTTCTTTGTTCCTTTCTTATTTTCTGTCTTCTTTTTTACTGAGAATTTTTATGACTCTGTTTCACAGTCATTATTCACTTATTAGTTATACCTCTTTGTATTATGTGCTTGTGCTCTTAGTGGAATGTGTACTTATCACAGTCTATATTCAAATAATATATCATTTCATGTAAAATGTGAGAACTTTACAATAGCATATTTCAATTTTCTCTTTCCATGCTTCAAGCTGTTGTTGCCCTAGGTTTGATTCCAAATTTAAAATATACTACACAACACACTGCTATTATTTTTCCTACAGATTATCTTTAAAAAAAACTTTATTGAGATACAATTCATCCATCTAAAGTGTGCAATTCAATTGTTGTTAGTATATTCCTGAGTTATACAGTCATCACCACAATGAATTTCAGAACCTTTTCATCACCCCATAAAGAAGCCTTGTATCTATTAGCAGTCATGCTGCATTTCCTACCAAACTCCACCCTAGGCGACTACTAATCTATTTTTGGTCTCTGTAGATTTGCCCACTCTGGACTTTTCCTATAACTGGAATCATATGATATGTTGTCTTTCATGACTGGCTTCTTTCACTAAGGTTGTGTTTTAAGGCTAATGTATATTGTAGCATGTATCAATACTTCACCCATTCTTATTGCTGAATAACATTCCATTGAATGGATCTACCACATTTTATATATCCATTAATCACTTCATAGAATTTGAGCTGTTTCCACTTTTTGGTGATTATGAATATTGCTGCTATAAACATTCATGTGAAAGTTTTTGTGTAGAAGTATGTTTTCATTTCTCTTGGATATATACCTAGAAGTGGAATTGCTGGGTCATATGGTAAACTCTATTTTTAACATTTTGAGGAACTACCAAACTGTTTTCCACAGTGGCTATATCATTTTACATTTCAACCAGCAATGTATGAAGGTTCCAATTTCTCCACATTCTTACCAACACGTGTTATTGTCTGTCTTTTTCATTTTTGCTATCCTGTTTGATGTGAAGTTGTACTCATTGGGTCTTTTTTTTTTTCAGTTGTGGTAAAATATACATAACATAAATTTTGCCATTTTAACGATCTCAAGTGTACAATTTGGGAACATTAAGTACACTCACAGTGTTGCAAACCGTTATCACTGTCCAATTCCAGAACTTGTTCATCATCCCAAACAGAAACTCTGTATCCATTTAACAGTTTCTTCCCATTTCCCCTTCCTGCAGCTGTTGGTAGCCTTTATTCTACTTTCTGTCTCTATTAATTTGCCTCTTCTAGGTACCTCATATCAGTGGAGTCATACAATACTTGTTCTTTTGTGTCTGACTTATTTCATTTATCAGGTTTTCAAGGTTCATCCATGTTGTAGAGTGTATCAGAATTTCATTCTTTTTAAGGCTGAATAACATTTCATTGTATGTATGTACCACATTTTGTTTATCCATTCACCTATTGATGGACATTTGGGTTGTTTCTACCTTTTGGTTACTGTGATAGTGCTGCTATGAACATGAGTACATAAGTATCTGTTTTGAGTCCTTGTTTTCAATTCTTTTGGGTAGTAGAATTAATTACTGGATCATATGGCAATTCTGTGTTTAATTTTGTTGTTGTTGCTTTCCACAGTGGCTGGACCACCTTATATTCTCACCAGCAATGCACAAGTGTTCCATTTTTCCATACACTCACCAAGACATGTTATCTTCTGTTTTCACTTTTGTTTTTATTAGCCATCCTAATGGATGGGAAGTGGTATCTCATTGCAGTTTTGGTTTGCATTTGCCTAATGAGGTGGATTTGTGGATTTGGTTTACATTTACCAAACATCTTTTCATGTGCTTATTTTTCCATTTGTATGTCTTCTTTGAAGAAATATTTGTTTCGGTCCTTTGCCAATTTTTTAATTGGGTTATTTGTCTTTTTATTATTGGGTTGTAAGAATTCTTCTGAATACAAGTCCCTTATCAGTATATGATTTAGAAATATTTTTTTCCATTGTGTGGGTGTCTTTTCATTTTCTTTATAGTGTCCTTTGAAGCACAAACAATTTTTAATTTTGAAGACTTCCAATCTATTGTTTTGATGTGCTTTTGATGTTGTATCTAACAAGTCATTGTCTAACGAAAGGTCAAAAAGATTTACTCCTATGTTTTCTTCTAAGTGTTTTATAGTTTTCTCTCTTATGTTTAGGTCTCTGATTCATTTTGAGTTAATTTTTGTATATGGTGTAAGACAGCGGTCCAAATTCATTCTTTTGTTTATAGATACCCAGTTGTCCTAGCATCATTTGTTAAAAAGACTGTGCTTTCCCCATTGAATGGTCTTGGTACTTTGTTGAAAATCAATTGAGTGTACATGTAAAGGTTTATTTCTGGACTCTCAATTCTATTCCATTGATCGACATGTCTATCTTTGTGCCAGTACTACACGGTATTGTAGGTTTGTGGTAAGTTTTGAAATCAGGAAGTGTGAGTCCTCCAAATTTGTTCTTCTTTTTGCAAGGTTTTTTGGGCTATTCTGGGTCACTTGCCATGCAGAAAAGAGTTAACATACCAGGCATAAATGCTTATGCTTAAAAAGAACTTCCTGCAAGGTTGGCTCTTGACTGGAAATTGGATTTCTAATAAGAGTGGCTCACCATGCCTAAACTGTTTATACAAACAACGTGTCTATGTGACAGTAGGTTTATGTGAACATCTGCTTTCCCTCTGGGAGTCTGAAGTTTTGTCACATGCTAGTCAGAGGTGCCTACATACCACATAGAGTCCCCCAGTAAAAACCCTGGGCACTGAATTCCTAAATGTCCCTGTGGACATTTCACATGTGTGGTCACAACTCATTCTGGAGGAATTAAGCATATTCTATGTGACTCCACTGGGAGAAGACCCTTGGAAGCTGGCACCCTGTTTCCTGCAGACTTCACCCTGTGCGCCTTCCCCCTTTGCTGTTTTATCCTGTAACCTTTCAATGCGATAAATTGTAGCCACAAGTACAACTCTATGCTGAGTCCTGTGAGCCCTCCTATTGAGTCATCAAACCTGAGGGCAGTCTTGGGAATCCATAACACATTTATTAATGTTAACATATTGTTTATATATTAATGTTAAGATCAGCTTGCCCATATCTTCAAAAAGCCTTCTAGGATTCTGATAAGGATTTCATTGAATCTATCAATTCTGGGGGTGGGTGGGAGGTATTGCAAATAATAGTTTTTTAAATATGAAAATACAGTTGATTTTTCTGTATTGATTTTGTATCCTGCAACCTTGCCGAACTCGCTTATTAGTTCTAATAGTGTGTGTGTGTGTGTGTGTGTGTGTGCATTCTTTAGGGTTTTCTATATATAATATCATGCTATCTGCAAGTTGACATACTTTTGCTTCTTCCTTTCCAATCTGGGTAACCTCCCTTCCTTTCTTTCTTCTTCCTTCTCTCCCTATCTTTCTTTTTCTTTTCTTTCCTTTCCTTTCCTTTTTTCTCTCTCTTGCTTCCTCCCTCCCACCTTCCCTCCTTTCCTTCCTTCATTTCTTTTTTCCTAATTGCACTGTCTACAACTTCCAGTACAAAAAAGTGCAAACATTCTTGTCTTGTTCCTGATCTTAAGCACAAAACATTCAGTCTTTCACCATTAAGTATTAGGTTAGCTGTAGGTTTTGGTAGATATTTTTTGTTGTTGTTGGTTTTGCTTTTTAAATCAAGATGGGGAATTTCCTTTCTATGTCTAGTTCCTTTCATATTTTTATATGAAAATGTATTGGATTTTGTTCAGATTTTTTTTCTGCATCTATTAAGTTGATCATGTGTTTTTGTTTCATTTTCTATTATTATGGTATATGATATTGATTGACCTTCATGTATTGATTTTCGTATATGTGTTCCTGGGATTAATCCCACCTGATCCTGTGTAAAATCCTTTGTTAATATTGTGTTGAGGATTCTTCTGTCTATATTCTTGAGACGCTGCTTAGTAGTTTTCTTTTCTTGTGATATCTGTCTGGTTTTGGTAGCAGAGTAATACTGGTCTCATAAAATATGTTGGCAAATGTTCCTTCAATTTTTTGGAAAAGTTTGTGAAGGATTGCTATTAATTCCTCCTTTTTTGGTAAAATTCACTAGATTATCTTTTAAAGATGTTAAAAATGAGAAATACCTTTTACATTTAGCTACATATTTACCTTTTTCTTTACTCTTCATCCCTTTGTGTAGGTCTGTATTCCACCTGGTTCCTTTTGTATGAAAAGCTTACTATAATATTTCTCATAGTGCAGTTTTGCTTGTGACAAAGTCTCTCAGCTTTTGTCTGAAAGTTATTTTTTTTTAATTTCAGCATTTTTAGGGTGTCACAGCATTGATCTCTGGCTTGCAGAGTTTCTAACAAAATTCTGCTGTCATCCTTATTCCTCAGTATGTAATGTGTCTTTTTTATGTGTGATACTTTTAAGATTTTTTTCTTTATCATTGTTTTTCAGCAATTTGATCATAAGCTACCTTGGTGTGGCTTTCTTTATGATTATTCTCCCTCTGGTTCATTGACCTTCTTGGATCTGTGGGTTCATAGTTTCATCAAATTTGGAAAATTTTCCAGCTATTGTTTATTCAAAAATAGCTTCTATTCTCCCCTCTCCTCTCCTTCTGGACTCCAGGTACACATACATTAGGCCACTTGATATATATTTCCACAGGTATCTGATTCTCTCTCTTAGTTTTTTTCCCCATTTTCTCTCTCTCTTTTTCATTTTGAATAGTTTCTATTGCTATACCTTTGTGTTCACTGATCTTCTGGTGTCTAATCTGCTATTAGAGAGTGAATTTTTTTCATATTCTTTTCCATGATGGTTTATCACAGGATATTGAATACAGTTCCTGTGCTGTACAGTAGGACCTTGTTGTTTATCCATTCTATATATAATAGTTTGCATTTGCTAATCCCAAACTTCCAGTCCATCCCTCCCCACCCCCTTGCCCACAGCAACTACAAGTCTGTTCTGTATCTCTGTGAGTCTGTTTCTGTTTTGTAGATAAATTTATTTGTGTCATATGTTAGATATTTAGTGATATCCTATGGTATTTGTCTTTCTCTTTCTGACTTACTTCCCTTAGTATGATAATCTCTAGGCCCATCCATGTTGCTGCAAATAGCATTATTTCATTCTTTTTTATGGCTGAGTATATTGTATATATATACCTCATCTTCTTTACCCATTCATCTGTCAATAGACATTTAGGTTGTTTCCATGTCTTAGCTATTTTGAGTAGTACTGCTATGAACACAGGGGTGCATGTATCTCTTCAAATTACAGCTTTGTCCGGATGTATGCCCAGGAGTGAGATTGCTGGATCATATGGTAACTCTACTTTTAGTTTTTTGAGGAACCTCCATACTGTCTTCCATAGTGGCTGCATCAATTTACATTCCCACCAGCAATGTGGGAGGGTTCTCTTTTCTCCACACCCTCTCCAGCATTTGTTATTTGTAGACATTTTCATGATGGCCATTCTGACCAGTGTGAGGCGGTACCTCATTGTAGTTTTGATTTGCATTTCTCTAATAATTACTGATGTTGAACATCTTTTCATGGGTCTTAGACAGTGAATTTTTTATTTCATATATTTTATTTTTCCTCTCTAGAAGTTCCATTAAGGTCTTTTTTATATCTTTTATTTCACTTTCATCCCTTTAGTGGTTCCCTTTTCATCTTTGAACATATTTATAATATTTATAAAGGCTGTTTCAAAGTCTTTGTCTGCTTGTTTCCTCATCTCTATTGGGTCTTTTTCTGCTGCTTTTTCTCCTGGGTATAGGTCATATTTTCTTGCTTCTTTGTATGTCTAGTAAATTTTTATTGGATGCTCAATATTTTAAATTTTACAAAAGTAAATTTTGGATTTTTTACCTTCCTTTAAAAAGTGTTGGACTTTTTGTGGAAGGCAGTTAAGTAACTTTTAGATATTTGATCATTTTAAGGTTTGTTTCTAAGCTTTTGTAGGGCGAGTCTAGAGAAGCCTTTATTCTAGAACTAAGTTCTTCTACTTTCAGTGTTTGATCCTTCAGGTTCCCTACTGAATGCCCCTTTTAATCACTCAGGTCTCTCCACTGTGGCTGGAGGAAATGTAAATTATTTCTGTCCCACTGTGAGCCCTAGGAAATGTTCATCTTATAGTTCCCTAGCTATTATTCCTTCAAGGGAAGTTATTCCTTCCTAGCTTCATGGGGTTTCGTGTCATATGTGCCCAGATCATTATTCAGCTAAAGACTTAAGGGGACCCCTATGCAGACTTCTGGAGTTCTTTGCTTTTGTTTGCATAGTGCTGTTCTCTCAAGACCTCTGCCTTGGCCTCCCCGAGCCAAGATCTCTGGTTCCTCAACTCAGTGGGCTCATCAAACTCTCCAGGTTCTGCAGCCTGGTTACTGCCTCTTGGCAGTAAGCTGGGGAGGTCATAAGGTTTGACTCATGTGTTTCCCGTTGTTCAGTGATCACAGTCCTGCAAGGCTGTGGACCAGTGTCTGAAAATAGTGGCTCATATATTTTGTCCAGGTTTTCAGTTGCTTACAGAAGTAGAATATTCTGGACTGTCTTCCTCCTGCACAGTCAGAAGCTCACATCTCCATTGAGTCTGTCTGTGTTTACTCTGATGAGGTTCTGCTGCCTGGCCTCCTTTGAAGTTTCAGCTGTCTGTGCTTCCACCAGCAACCTGAGCTGTCCCATGTGGGGTGTGCACGTGTTGATCTGAACTTTGAGGCAGACTCCTCCTCTTCACTCTCTGCCCTTTTCCCCTTGCCTTTTGCAGAAAAAGTGTGAGCGTTATTGGGCCCAAGAACAGGAGCCACTGCAGATTGGGCTTTTCTGCATCACTCTGGTGAGCTGGGGCAGAGGTGGAAACAGCACTTTATGAAGTCTCGGATGTTGTGGAAGATTTCACAGATGATTCTGAGTGGAAAGCTTTTGGGCTGGGCCTGAACAGTTTTCCCACAGTCCCACTCACACTGCAGGGAGCCCTCTGGTATTAGCATTGCAAATAGTCAGAACTCATTATACACTGTTTTTGCATTTTAACTACTATCATGGTTATCTCTGTAAATGTTCATGTGCCTGGTTAGGTTCTTAAAATTCTTATTTCCCTTACCCTTTCAAAAGAACTCAGGAAAATCTCTCATAAGTCATAAATACAATTGGTATTTAATAAATACAATGAAACTTGTTTTAGAACAAAAGACGTTTCTTTGTTTCACTGTAAATGAGCTTGTTGGATATTTAATCATAGTTCCTCTTTCTTCCCTTTGTGAAATGTTTCCTTCACAAAAGCCATGGGAGATATTCGGGCTAAATTAATTTTTTAAAATGTGTTGTTTGTATTTGATTTTTCTTTTGTTTTTTTTGGGGGGGCCATGCTGCATGGCTTGCAGGATCTCAGTTCCCTGACCAGGGATTGAACCCAGGCCATGGCAGTGAAAGCCCAGAATCCTAACCACTAGGCCACCAGGGAACTCCCTGTATTTGATTTTTAATCAGAAACGCTTTGTTTTTTGTAAATATGTCTTTTGGCATCTGTGATCTTTGTTCTCTGCCCTCTTCTCACATGCCCCATATCCACAGACAAGGGAGACATGGCTGAATGCAGACACCACGCTCAGGACCCTTCAGGTCACCTTCCAGAAGGTACTGAAAGGGGAGGAGGAGACTCCTACATAGGGAGAGCTGTTTCCTGTCTCTGTTTTCTCATCTGCAAAATGTGCATTAACAATAGTACCCATCTCTTCAGTTATTATCTGTTGCATTTAAACGGAGGATGTGGAGAACTAGGGCTGATATGTAACAGGGGCTCAATAAATGCATTTCTTTCTTTTTTCATTCTTTGCCCCTCATTTCCTGTGTTTCAGGAATCCCGCTCTGTGTACCAGCTGCAGTATATGTCCTGGCCAGACAGAGGGGTCCCTAGCAATCCCGACCACGTGCTCGCCATGGTGGAGGAAGCCCGGCGCCTCCAGGGATCTGGCCCCAGCCCCCTCTGTGTCCACTGCAGGTTTAGGAAAATGGGCTTTATGGGGGTCTGGTGAGACAGAGGGGATGGTGGTGGAGAGGGGACAGGGAGGATAGTGCAGGGCTTGGAGCCAGTCTTACAGTCTGAGTGCCTGTTTCAAGAAACCTGAGGCCACACTTGCTCAAGTTGCAGCTGAAATGGTTAGTATTTATTGAGCACAGACTGTCTGCTAGGGAGTAAGTACACAGTTGATGCTCAACAAATATAAGCAATTAGAAAGGTTTTCCTTTCAAATTATAATCTGGGATTCTGGGAATCAAAAAGTGCTGCAGGGGACACTCCATTAAGGCCCTCACCCCCAGCCCCAAATGCCCCCTTTAAAAGGGGTTGCAGGCAGGCCCTGACCAAGCTCACTCTGATTCTCACTTGTCAGCGCGGGCTGTGGGCGAACAGGTGTCCTGTGCACCCTGGATTATGTGAGACAGTTGCTCCTGACCCAGGTATGAAGAGGGCGTACAAGCGCAGTGTGGGTCCTGTGCCTATGAGGTCCTGCTCAAGTGCCCATCTCTCTGCCCTAGATGATCCCACCTAACTTCAGCCTCTTCAGTGTGGTCCTCGAGATTCGGAGGCAGCGGCCTGCAGCCATACAGACAGAGGTGGGAGCCGGGTCTCCTCATTCCAAGGACATATCCCTCCTGTTCTGGTCTTCCCTTCTCGATGACCCCTCTTCCCTCTCCCACCCCCTCAGGAGCAGTACAGGTTCCTGTACCACACAGTGGCTCAGATGTTCCTCTCAGCGCTCCAAAATGCCAGCCCTCACTACCAGAACCTCAAGGAGGTACCAAGGCCCCCTTCCAATCCTCAGAGACCAGGACCCAGAGCAGAGGTCTATGGTCACCACCAGCGCCAGCATCCAGCCCTTGGACTCCCTCCGGGAGCAGGGACTGACGCACTATGATATCTACCTTTGTCCTCCTCCTTGCTCCCTTATCACTGTCCCCTCTTAAGCTTCCCCCACAGAGCCCACAGTGACCTCGCACCACTAGGAGCCTGGAGAGCGTCCTCCGAAGCCTCATGCCTTTCCCTCCTGCCTTTCCCCAGAATTGTGCCCCACTCTACGATGATGCCTTCTCCCTCCGGACTTCCCACACCCTTCCTGCCACAGCCCGCCCATCTGGCGGGGTCCTCAGGTACCCAGCCCCCTCTCCTCAGTCTTCCATTTTCACTTTCTCGTCCTTGGAGGCTGGCCCTTTCCTCACCCTTGAAACACCAGCCCCTTCCTTGCCGTTCAGTTCACCAAATATTCACTGGCCCTTTCTTGCAGCTGAGCTCTGGGAACCCTCCCCAAGATGATTCTTTAATCCCGGAGATCCCATTGCCTCTGCCCCTCAGGCTAGCTCCCGATGTTAGTTCTCTCCTCGCTTTTCCACTCATTAATTCAGCAGATTTTTTTTGAGGCCACCCAACTGTAAGGCCTCATGCCGGGTGCAGCAGAGACTTCAGCCCTTGGTCCCGGAGACCAGCCCTCCATTTTGAGACTCTCCCTTGCTTCTCTTTAGATGTCACTTCCTCATTCATTTATTCAACAGACAACTACACAGAAATGACCAACCCTCAATACCAATATCTTGCCCCATTCACCTGCCAGGCTGGCCCCTTCCTTCCTTCATCCACCCAACCTGCTGGGCGCTAGGGACACAGAGACGAGACCCCTTTCCCCAGAGACGCTACCACCTCCACCTCCTCGCTCCGTAACTGCGCGCCGCCTCGGGCGGGAAGGAAGCCGGTGGTTTGCACGCCGAGCGCGCTGCCCCCTCCCTCCCCAGCCTCGGCGCCGCCGCTTCACTTCCTCCCCACCCGCAGGAGCATCTCGGTACCCGGGCCCCCGGGCCTCGCCATGGCCGACACGTACGCTGTGGTGCAGAAGCGCGCGGCCCCCGCGGGCACCGGGACAGGGGCGGGCGCGCGGGCGCGCGGCGCGGAGGAGACGCCCCTCTACAGCCAGGTGATGCCGCGCGCCCGGCGGCCCCAGGCGCACGCGGAGGACGGGCGCGGGCCGCTGCCCGGCCGCGGTAAGTCGACGCGGCCCGGGCGCGGGGCTGGGGAGGGCTGGCCCCGACCTGCTCCGTCTCCCGACCCCCTGTGGCTGCGGTCTGGAGGGTCTGGAGGCCACGAGGACCCCCACCCCCCGCTCCACCGAGTCCGGCCCGGTCACGCCCCGGAGGCTGACGTCCTGGCTTCCCCGGCCACGCCTCTGGGACAACCGCCCGTCCTCTGGTCACGCCCGGAAGCGTCCCGGGCCAAACCGCGGTCTCTGGCCCGACCACCTAGTATGGGCGGAGGTCTCCGATTTGGTCACGACCCTGGCCGCGCACCCTCCTGCTGGGCCCCGGCGCCCGGCCCCCAGCCTGCCTTCTCTGGCCTGGGAGGATGCGCATTTGCCTCCGAGTGGCTCTCCGGAACTTCGAGGGGCGGCCTGAGCCGATCTGTTAGGTGGTTTTCTGCCCGCAGTTCCTGTTGACCAAAGCCCAGCAGGGCCTGGCGCCTACGAGGACGTGGTAGATGGAGCTCAGACTGGTGGGCTAGGTAAGTCAGACAGCCTGGGTCGCTGGGACTCTACAGTTTTAACTGAATCCCAGGCATTTGGGGCTTTAAGATGGTGTTAGGAAAACACACGCCCTCGGAGTCCTGTGGATGTGTCAGCAGCAAACCGTGAGGGCCTGGAGGCTTGGGGGTGACTTTCCACGAGTTGCCTACCTCTCTGCACCTCAGCTTCTCCGTGATCCCTACGGTGCCCTTCCTTTTCCAGGCTTCAACCTGCGCATTGGAAGGCCTAAAGGACCCCGGGACCCGCCTGCTGAGTGGACCCGCGTGTGAGTGCAGCGCCCTTGCCTGCCTGTTGGGTGCCTGGTCCACGTGGGTTCCTGGACTGCTGAGGGCCGTGCTCTACTCTGTGACGTGCTGGGAATGGGGTTGCTGGGCTGAATCAAAATAAAAGTTTCTCAGTGTGGAAAATATGAGGGCTTTGCCTCAGTGATCATAACGTTCAAGGCGTGAGGCTTGGGGAGGTAGTTGGTTGACGATGGCTGGTGAGGTTACACTGAGCATATTCAAGAATAAATTCAACCCCAAGAGTCTGGGCAGGGCTCCCGGCTGTGAAGGGAAGGATGGACAGATAGGCTTTTGGAGACTGTCCCCTTCACCACTTGAAGGACTGGTTCATCTCAGTATCTGAGCCTCCCTCACTCAGACACTCAGCTTATAACACAGGGAGATGGATGGACCCCCGTTGACCTCCACCATTCAGACAGATGGAAGCCAGGCATAACGACAGCCAAGCGGACTGATTTCAGACAGGTGAAAAGATCCCCAGATGGGCAGGCAGACAGATGGAATCCCAACCTGGACAGACATATAGCAATTCCCTTAGACAGCCAGACCTTCAGAGGGACAGTCCATGGGTGGACCTCCAGCCAGAGAGAGTGACCCACTGACAGCCTAACAGACCACTCCATGCAAAACAGACCACCCAAAAGACAGACCACTTCCCCCAGCTAAGCAGCTAGACAGACATCAGCCAAATAAACCCTTGGCTGGACAGACTCCCAGGCAGATGTAAAGAGATCTCAGCTGAATAGACACAGATGTCCTCTCAGCTAGACAGACCTCCCAGCTACACAGACCCACCCCCATGTGGGCAGACAGCCTGACAGACCTAGTCACACAGACTCCCAACTAGCCAACTGGACTCCAGCCAGGCAGATACTAGCCACACGGACCCTTGATTGCACAGACACCCCACCCAGCCAGCCAGACTTCCAACTAGGCAGACAGGTGAGCAGACCCCCCATTTTGGCAGAGAAGTTGATATATCTTCTGCTGGGAAGACACCCAGGTGGACACTCAGGCAGTCAACTGATCAGATAGGCAGATGGACCCTCATATAGAAAAAGCATCATGAGCCAGACAGATCCTCCACTACCCAGACCATCTGCCAGTTGGACACACACTGCAAGTCTTCAGGTAGATGGAATCCCTGCTAGCCAGATGGGCTCCTAGCCCTCAGATACATAGGACCCCATTGGATGGGTGGACTCCTAGTCGGACAGATAGATTCCCAGCCACAATGACACACCATCCTCAGCCAGAGAAATAAATGGACCCCAAGCCAACTGGCCAGCTAGATCCCAAGTTGGATGAACAGACCCCCAAACCAGATGAACGGGTAGACCCCCATCTGGACAGATGACTGGACCCCAACAAGTCAGACCCCTAGCTGTTCACACAGGCTTCTAGCCAGACAAGCCTCCAGCCCTTGATCTGGACAGCAGATGCACACAGACCACCAGCTTGGCAGACAAATCTGCAGCCAGCAAGACAGCCCTCTAGCCTCACAGTCACATGGACTGACCTCATACTGATAGACTGGTAAACCTCCAAGTAGACTCAGCTGGAAAAATAAACTCCGGACAGACCGACTCCCAACTTGAAAAGATCCTCAGACAAACCCATGACTGGACAGACATGCAGACCCCCAGCCAGAAAGACAGCAGCCAGACAGACCCCATCTAGACAGGTAGATACTCAGTGAGCCACACAGATCTCCAGCTGGACAGACAGACACTGGGCCACCCAGCCAGATAACCTTCAAATGAGATGGAACGCCAGGTAGACAAAAAGATGAGTAAGTTTACACTTGATGCTTCAAAATCCTGATCCTGCTCTGTAAGCCTCCCTCCCGACGTGATCTTCCTTCTGGCAGTGTCTGTCTGACAATGTCAGGTTTATCTAGGAGGACTCCCAGTCATTCCTCCCCAACACAGTGCCTTTCCCAGGCTGTCGGAAAGCTGGCCTGTGTCTGTGACGAGCGTGGACCACCAAGGCCTCCACCTGCTCAGCCAGGCCACATCCCTCACACAGTTACTGTGAGAATTCAGTGAAAGAGAATATAAAGAGCCTACCATCTGCTCAATAAGTGTTCAGCCATAATTAGCTCCAGGGCCCTGCATTCAATACAGGTCCTGAGACAAATCATTTGCCCTTTGAGTGGTGGTAGAAGGAGGATGAAACTTGCCTTCCCTGACCACAAAGTGCTTGGTGACAGTGACTTAATTTTTCAAGTATGTAAAGTCTCTGCACAAGAAGCAGTTCGACCAGCAGAAACCAGGAATTGCAGAGAAACTAGAGATTCCCCAGTTCAATGGGAAACAGGTGAAAGTTGGAGCAGATCTTGATGGAAAGAGGCAGGAAGGAGGCCCCGGGGCTGCTGATAGCAGAGGAGGCCGAAGGTGTCATTTAGAGTGTAAACCAACCTCAAAGCCAGAAATATTAAGTCATTGCACTCCGGAGACCAGAGGGGAAAAGCAGTAGTGTCTCAGAGTAGAGGGGGCTAATGGTAGAAGGAAGAGGCATCTTTCCATCATTTGATGTTTCTTTAAACTAAGCAGGTCTGTATCATAATGGTGAATAGCTTGGACTCAGTCACTTACTAGTGTGATATTGAGCAACTTTCTTAATTTCTCACTGCTTCAGTTTTCCAGTCTCTAAAATGGGACAATAAAGTTATATTTATCATAGGGTTGCCACATATATGACTGTGAATCTGGATTTTTACAATGGACATAGAAAGGAAGATTTCTTATTTTTTCAGGGCTTATGCCCAGAATAAAACAGAATTCCATACAGTTGAAATAATTATATCAAAAGCTCTGACTAAGACATGGGACTTCCCTGGTTGTCCAGAGGATAGGACTCCACGCTTCCACTGCAGTGGGCACAGGTTTGATCCCTGGTGGGGGAACTAAGATTCCAGAAAAAAAACCTGAAAGCCAACCAGACAAACAAAAAAACCACAAAAAACAAAACAAAAAAGCACCCTTTACCCAAGACAAAAATAAATGAAAGCAAATTTAATTATACATTCTCCTGCTTAAAATCTAGTGGCTCCAGTCTTTGATTACTGTTGCATTTTAAATCAGTGGGCAGAAAAATGTTTTATTCAACATAGGTTATTGAGATGATAAGTAGTCATTTAGGAAAAAAGAAGTTTTAGCCATATACCTTACAGCAAGATAAATTCCAAATGCATCAAAGATTTAAATGTAAAATATTAACCCCTGTTACACCATGTTATTCACTGTAGTAGCAGAAGATTGGAAACAATTAATTAATTCATGGATGCATTGTGTCTTTATTTCTGTGCGAGCTTTCTCTAGTTGTGGCGAGTGGGGGCTACTCTTCGTTGTGGTGCGCAGGCTTCTCATTGCGGTAGCTTCTTTTCAGGCTCTAGGCGTGCGGGCCTTAGTAGTTGTGGCATGTGGGCTCAGTAGTTGTGGCACACGAGCTTAGTTGCTCCTTGGCAGATGGGATCTTCCCAGACCAGGGCTCGAACCCATGTCCCCTGCATTGGCAGGCGGATTCTTAACCACTGCGCCACCAGAGAAGTCCTGGAAACATTTTAAATGTTCTCCCTGGGATCCTGGTTAAATAAATGCTGTGATGGAATCTTATGCAGCTGTTTAAAAAAGGAACTCCTCTATGCACTGGTGTGGACGAATCTCCAGATCACATGGAAAAATGAAAAAAAAGGGACTTACCTGGTGGCACAGTGGCTAAGAATCCCCCTGCCAATGCAAGGGACATGGGTTCAATCCCTGGTCCGGGAAGATCCCACATGCCATGGAGCAACTAAGCTCGTGCACCACAACTGCTGAGCCTGTGCTCTAGAGCCCGCGAGCCACAACTGCTGATCCCACGCACCATAACTACTGAAGCCTGTGCATCTAGAGCTGGTGCTCCGCAACAAGAGAAGCCACCAAAATGAGAAGCCCGTGCACAGGAACGAAGAGTAGACCCCACTCGCCACAACTAGAGAAAAAGCCTGTGCGCAGCAATGAAGACCCAAAGCAGCTAAAAGATAAATAAATATATATTTTTTGAATTTTATTTTATTTATTTTTTAGACAGCAGGTTCTTATTAGTTATCTATTTTATACATGTTAGTATATATATGTCAATCCCAATCTCCCAGTTCATCACACACACACACACACACCTGCCGTTTTCCCCCCTTGGTGCCCATACATTTGTTCTCTACATCTGTGTCTCAGTTTCTGCCCTGCAAACCAGTTCATTTGTACCATTTATCTAGGTTCCACATATATGCATTGATATACGATATTTGTTTTTCTCTTTCTGACTTACTTCACTCTGTATGACAGTCTCTAGATCCATCCATGTCTCTACAAATGACCCAGTTTCGTTCCTTTTTATGGCTGAGTAATATTCCATAGTATATATGTGCCACATCTTCTTTATCCATTCGTCTGTCGATGGGCATTTAGGTTGCTTCCACGACCTGGCTATTGTAAATAGTGCTGCACTGAACACTGGGGTGCATGTGTCTTTTTGAATTATGGTTTTCTCTGGGTATATGCCCAGTAGTGGGATTGCTGGGTCATATGGTAATTCTATTTTTAGGTTTTTTTTTTTTTTTTTTTTTTTTGCGGTACGCGGGCCTCTCACTGTTGTGGCCTCTCCCGTTGCAGAGCACAGGCTCCAGACGCGCAGGCTCAGTGGCCATGGCTCACGGGCCCAGCTGCTCCACGGCATGTGGGATCTTCCTGGACCGGGGCACGAACCCGTGTCCCCTGCATCAGCAGGCGGACTCTCAACCACTGTGCCACCAGGGAAGCCCTCTAATCCGTTTTGAGTTTATTTTTATGTATGGAGTTAGGGAGTGTTCTAATTTCATTCTTTTACATGTAGCTGTCCAGTTTTCCCAGCACCACTTATTGAAGAGACTGTCTTTTCTCCAGTGCATATCCTTGCCTCCTTTGTCATAGATTAGTTGACCATAGGTGTGTGGGTTTATCTCTGGGCTTTCTATCCTGTTCCATTGATCTATATTTCTGTTTTTGTGCCAGTACCATATTGTCTTGATTACTGTAGCTTTGTAGTATAGTCTGAAGTCAGGGAGCCTGATTCCTCCAACTCCATTTTTTTTCCCTCAAGACCACTTTGGCTATTAGGGGTCTTTTGTTCCATACAAATTTTAAGATTTTTTTGGTTCTAGTTCTGTAAAAAATGCCATTGGTAATTTGACAGGGATTGCATTCAATCTGTAGACTGCTTTGGGTAGTATAGTCATTTTTGCAGTATTTACTCTTCCAATCCAAGAACATGGTATATCTCTCCATCTGTTTGTATCATTTTTAATTTATTTCATCAGTGTCTTATAGTTTTCTGCATACAGGTCTTTTGTCTCCCTAGGTAGGTTTATTCCTAGGTATTTTATTCTTTTTGTTGCGGTGGTAAATGGAAGTGTTTCCTTAATTTCCCTTTCAGAGTTTTCATCATTAGTGTATAGGAATGCAAGAGATTTCTGTGCATTAATTTGTATCCTGCTACTTTACCACATTCATTGATTAGCTGTATTAGTTTTCTGGTAGCATCTTTAGGATTCTCTATGTATAGTATCATGTCATCTGCAAACAGTGACAGTTTTCCTTCTTCTTTGCTAATTTGGATTCCTTTTATTTCTTTTTCTTCTCTGATTGCTGTGGCTAGGACTTCCAAAACTATGTTGAATAATAGTGGTGAGAGTGGGCATCTTTGTCTTGTTCCTGATCTTGGAGGAAATGCTTTCAGTTTTTCACCATTGTGAATGTTGTTAGCTGTGGGTTTGTTGTATATGGCCTTTATTATGTTGAGGTAGGTTCCCTCTATGCCCACTTTCTGGAGAGTTTTTATCATAAATGGGTGTGGAATTTTGTCAAAAGCTTTTTCTGCATCTATTGAGATGATCATACGGTTTTTCTTCTTCAGTTTGTTAGTATGGTTTATGAAATTGATTGATTTGCATATATTGAAGAATCCTTGCATCCCTGGGAGAAATCCCACTTGATCATGGTGTATGATCCTTTTAATTGTTGTTGGATTCTGTTTGCTAGTATTTTGTTGAGGGTTTTTGCATCCTTATTCATCAGTGATATTGGTCTATAATTTTCTTTTTTTGTAGTATCTTTGTCTGGTTTTGGTATCAGGGTGATGGTGGCCTCAAAGAATGAGTTTGGGAGTGTTCCTTCCTCTGCAGTTTTTTGGAAGAGTTTGAGAAGGATGGGTGTTAGCGCTTCTCTAAATGTTTGATAGAATTCACCCGTGAAGCCATCTGGTCCTGGACTTTTGTTTGTTGGAAGATTTTTTTTTTTTTTTTTTTTTGCGGTACGCGGGCCTCTCACTGTTGTGGCCTCTCCCATTGTGGAGCACAGGCTCCGGACGCACAGGCTCAGCGGCCATGGCTCAAGGGCCCAGCCGCTCCATGGCATGTGGGATCTTCCCGGACCAGGGCACGAACCTGTGTCCCCTGCATCGGCAGGCGGGCTCTCAACCACTGTGCCACCAGGGAAGCCCTGTTAGAAGATTTTTAATCACAGTTTCAATTTCTTTACTTGTGATTGGTCTGTGCATATTTTCTATTTATTCCTGGTTCAGTCTTGGAAGGTTATACCTTTCTAAGAATTTGTCCATTTCTTCCAGGTTGTCCATTTTATTTGCATAGGGTTGTTTGTAGTAGTCTGTTAGGATGCTTTGTATTTCTGCTGTGTCTGTTATAAATTCTCCTTTTTCATTTCTAATTTTATTGATTTGAGTCCTCTCCCTCTTTTTCTTGATGAGTCTGGCTAATGGTTTATCAATTTTGTTTATCTTCTCAAAGAACCAGCTTTTAGTTTTATTGATCTTTGCTATTGTTTTCTTTGTTTCTATTTCATTTATTTCTGCTCTGATCTTTATGATTTCTTTCCTTCTACTAACTTTGAGTTTTGTTTTTTCTTCTTTCTCTAGTTCCTTTAGGTGTAAGGTTAGATTGTTTATTTGAGATGTTTGTTGTTTCATGAGGTACGATTGTATTGCTATAAACTTCCCTCTTAGTTCTGCTTTTGCTGCATCCCATAGGTTTTGGATCATCATGTTTTCGTTGTCATTTGTCTCTAGGTATTTTTTGATTTCCTCTTTGATTTCTTCAGTGATCTCTTGGTTATTTAGTAACATATTGTTTAGCTTCCATGTGTTTGTCTTTCTTACGTTTTTTTCCCTGTAATTCATTTCTAATCTCATAGCGTTGTGGTCAGAAAAGATGCTTGATATGATTTCAATTTTCTTAAATTTACTGAGGCTTGATTTGTGACCCAGGATGTGATCTGTCCTCCAGAATGTTCCATGCACACTTGAGAAGAAAGTGTAATCTGCTGTTTTTGGATGGAATGTTCTATAAATATCAGTTAAATCTATCTGGTCTATTATGTCATTTAAAGCTTCTGTTTCCTTATTTATTTTCATTTTGGATGATCTGTCCATTGGTGTAAGTGAGGTGTTAAAGTCCCCCACTATTATTGTGTTACTGTCGATTTCCTCTTTTATAGCTGTTAGCAGTTGCCTTATGTATTGTGGTGCTCCTCTGTTGGGTGCATATATATTTGTAATTGTTATATCTTCTTCTTGGATTGATCCCTTGATCATTATGTAGTGTCTTTCCTTGTTTCTTGTAACATTATTTTAAAGTGTATTTTATCAGCTATGAGTATTGCTACTCCAGCTTTCTTTTGATTTCCATTTGCATGGAATATCTTTTTCCATCCCCTCGCTTTCAGTCTGTATGTGTCCCTAGGTCTGAAGTGGGTCTCTTGTAGACAGCATATATATGGGTCTTGTTTTTGTATCCATTCAGTGAGCCTGTGTCTTTTGGTTGGAGCATTTAATCCATTCATGTTTAAGGTAATTATTGATATGTATGTTCCTGTTACCATTTTCTTAATTGTTTCAGGTTTGTTTTTGTAGGTCCTTTTCTTCTCTTGTGTTTTCCACTTAGAGAAGTTCCTTTGGCATTTGTTGTAGAGCTGGTTTGGTGGTGCTGAATTCTCTTAGCTTTTGCTTGTCTGTAAAGCTTTTAATTTCTCCATCAAATCTGAATGAGATCCTTGCTGGGTAGAGTAATCTTGGTTGCAGGTTTTTCTCCTTCATCACTTTAAATATGTCATGCAACTCCATTCTGGCTTGTAGAGTTTCTGCTGAGAAATCAGCTGTTAACCTTATGGGTTATGTTATTTGTCATATGTCATTTGTCATTTTTCCCTTGCTGCTTTCAATAATTTTTCTTTGTCTTTAATTTTTGCTAGCTTGATTATTATGTGTATTGGCATGTTTCTCCTTGGGTTTATCCTGTATGGGACTCTCTGCGCTTCCTGGACTTGAGTGGCTATTTCCTTTCCCATGTTAGGGACGTTTTCGACTATAATCTCTTCAAATATTTTCTCGGGTCCTTTCTCTGTCTCTTCTCCTTCTGGGACCCCTATAATGCGAATGTTGTTGCGTTTAATGTTGTCCCAGAGGTCTCTTAGTCTGTCTTCATTTCTTTTCATTCTTTTTTCTTTATTCTTTTCCGCAGCAGTGAATTCCACCATTCTGTCTTCCAGATCACTTATCCGTTCTTCTGCCTCAGTTATTCTGCTATTGAGTCCTTTTAGTGTATTTTTCATTTCAGTTATTGTATTGTTCATCTCTGTTTGTTTGTTCTTTAATTCTTCTAGGTCTTTGTTAAACATTTCTTGCATCTTCTCGATCTTTGCCTCTATTCGTTTTCTGAGGTCCTGGGTCATCTTCACTATCATTATTCTTTATTCTTTTCCTGGAAGGTTTCCTATCTCCACTTCATTTAGTTGTTTTTCTGGGGTTTTATCTTGTTCCTTCATCTGGTACATAGCCCTCTTCCTTTTCATCTTGTCTGTCTTTCTGTGAATATGTTTTTTGTTCCACAGGCTGCAGGATTGTAGTTCTTCTTGCTTCTGCTGTCTGCCCTCTGGTGGATGAGGCTGTCTAAGAGACTTGTGCAAGTTTCCTGATGGGAGGGACTGGTGGTGGGTAGAGCTGACTGCTGCTCTCGTGGGCAGAGCTGAGTAAAAGTTTAATCCACTTATCTGCTGATGGGTGGGGCTGGGTTCCCTCCCTGTTGGTTGTTTGGCCTGAGGCAACCCAACACTGGAGCCTACTCCGGCTCTTTGGTGGAACTAATGGCAGACTCTGGGAGGGCTCACACCAAGGAGTACTTCCCAGAACTTCTGCTGCCACTGTCCTTGTCCTCATGGTGAGACACAGCCACCTCCGCCTCTACAGGAGACCCTCCAGCACTAGCAGGTAGGTCTGGTTCAGTGTCCTGTGTGGTCACTCCTCCTTTCCCTTGGTCCCAATGCACTCACTACTTTGTGTGTGCCCTCCAAGAGTGGAGTCTCTGTTTCCCCCAGTCCTGTCGAAGTCCTGCAATCAAATCCCACAAGCTTCAAAGTCTGATTCTCTAGGAATTCCTCCTCCCGTTGCCGGACCCCCAGGTTGAGAAGCCTGACGTGGGGCTCAGAACCTTCACTCCAGTCGGTGGACTTCTGTGGTATAAGTGTTCTTCAATTTGTGAGTCACCCATCCAGCAGTTATGGGATTTGACTTTATTGTGATTGCGCCCCTCCTACCGTCTCATTGTGGCTTCTCCTTTGTCTTTGGATGTGGGGTAGCTTTTTTGGTGAGTTCCAGTGTCTTCCTGTCGATGAGTGTTCAGCATTTAGTTGTGATAGAGGGAGTGAGAGCATGTCCTTCTACTCCGCCATCTTGAACGAATCTCGATAATTTTTTTAAAAAGAAAGAAAAGTGTATGCAATTTAACTTACATTAAAAAAAAGAAAAAAATACTTTTATATTTTTATATATAGATATGTTTTCCTTGGATATGCAAAAAGTATGATTGAAAAAAAGCACAAGAAACTTGACAGAGGACTGACTGTCTGGGGGCCAGGTGCTCCCACCCACCACTCTGCCTTCCTTTCACTTGCTCAGACCTTCCACGCTTAGGTATTTGTGTATGGTGGGCTCAGGTCCTACTGGCACTGCTGTGGTGCCCCAGGGTCCCACATCCAGCACAGTTATGCCCTGTTCTGAGTGAGGACTGGCCTTCCTGCCTCCACCTGCCCACATCCTTGGGGAGAAAAAGTGCCTTGGAGTGAATCCCCACCCTGCCACCTTCCACCCAGCTGTCCAGGAGGGAAGTCCTCTTTCCTTGGGTAATATATATGTATCCCAGTATAATATGCTGAGAGACCCTTTTCTCTCTTTCCCAAAGATACTTACATCACAGGACAGTGAATGAGTTCTGTTTTGGGGAGAGGATGGGCAGGTCAGCAGCAGCCCTCTTGATAAAATCTCAAAGCCTCCTTAGTTCAGGGTTTCTGTCCTGTGATGCAAACCCCTGGCATGCACAGGTGACACCAGCATCCCCTTGTGGGGAGCAGGGGCGTGGGAAGCTGACTCAAGATGCTTATTCAGGCTGCTGTTTTTACTGCGAGTGATAAGCTGTTTCTCTGATTCAGAGGTCTGATGTCATATATAGACGAAACTGGGGCAGCTAACCTGACAGCTCGCAAGGAAGGGCCACCCTTAGAGGCTTCATGGATTCACCACTGGCCTCCTTCCTTGTCTGTTCACAAGTGCACTCCTGTTTCAGGTGTTTGCACTGGCTATTCTCTTTGCCTGGGAAGCTTTTCTCTCACATTCCACTTCTAGTATATTAGAAATTTTACCTCTTTATGTTGTTTTCTATCTGTCTCTCCTGACCAGAATGTAAGCTCCATGAGGACAGGAATTTTTGTTTTGTTAACAGCTCTATGCCTGGTTCCTAGAACAGTGTGTAGCACTTAGTAGGTGTGCAAGTTAATTTATGTCACACTATTCCTAGGCTTCCCAATTTCTAGGAAAATATCACACTTTGTCTCAAATGTGCCCTTAGCCTTTCCATGTTAGTGACTGCCTCAGGCTGACACACAGCCCTCCTCTTGTTGAGAAGGTACTCAGCATTGGGAGAGCCATCCTCTGCGGGGCTCTTCCTTTCCTGAACATCTTTGCTGGCTGTGAGTGGAATATTGCCCCTCCCCTGTCCCAGATGTCTAAATCCTAGCTCTGGGTACGTGTGAAGGTGACCTTATTTGGAAAAAGGGTCTTTGCAGGTGTAATTAAGTTAAGTGCCCTGAGATCATCCTGGATTTAGGATGCGCCCTAAACCCACTGACTGACGTCCTTACAAGAGAAAGGGGAGGGAGATTTGAGACACAGAGACAGAGAGAAAAGGCTATTGAAGATGGAGACAGATTGAACTGAGGCATCTACAAGCCAAGCAACACCAAAGAAAACACCAGGAGCTGGCAGAGAGGCCTGGAACAGATTCTCCCATGGAGCCTCCGGAAGAAACCAGCCCTGCTGACACCTCCAGTAAAGACCTCTGGACTCCAGACATGTTGTTTTAAACCACCGGTTTATGGTCATGTGTTATGGCAGCCACAGGAAACTCATATATTGGGTGTGCCAAGAATAGCCCTTCTCAGAGCTATGTTTGCAGCAGGAAAATTTCAGGGAGGCAATGGCTCCCTCTGAGCTCAGTGTTCCTCAGCTGGGATACAGCCCTTTGTGTGAGTGGTACCTGTCTCTCACATGCCTCAGTGGGATGTGGGGTCAGGGTATGCAAGCATGATGGGGGCCCCTTGGTCTCTCATCGGTAGTCTCATGTCTTCCGCCAGCACCCATGAAACAGGGATGCACTGTCGTCAGTGTATAAGTAGGGTGGTATCAGGTGACACCTCCTCCACACACCCCATGGTGATTCCTCCCTCCTTTCTGTGTTCAACATCTTCTGACTTTACTTCTTCTCTATATAAGGTGTTTGTTTCTTATTTTAGATTGTGATGTCTCTGAGAAAAAAAACGAGGCTCTATCTGTGGCTACATGTGTTGTTTTTAATCCCAGTGGTGCAGAGGTGTTTTACACAGTGATGGAAACTTTGTTTTGGTTTCCTAACTCTTAATTCAATGCTCTTTTCAGTCACCCCCTATGCACATGTATCTCATTACCTTCAGAAGCAACACATGGTACTAAAAGATGCTGCCAGACTTTGGGCAGTGGATATCTGATCTCATGCAGCCAAAAGAAAGAGGTGAAGAATTTCTGTTTAGCCCTTGGGTCCTCAGCGAACTTCTCAAATCTTAACATAGAAGGGGGTTGCTGAGGTCTGGAGCTGCTGAGAGTCTAACAGCCTTTCGTAACTGGGCTGGCCTGGGCCTGGTCCCACTTCCTCTTCTCACCTTCTACTCACCCTCACACGCAAAGCCAGCACTTCCGGCAAAATGCACTGTCTCCCCAGGGTTCCCTACTCTCCTCCTTCAGTCACAGTTTCTCTCATCCCACAGGACCCAGCTCCCATTTCACCTGCCCAGTGAAGGATGGAGCATTCTCTCACCCTACCCCTCGGCTTCTATTCCCCAGAGCACCTGGTGTCAGCCCTTGTCATATCCCTCCCTGGGCTGGCAGGATCCTGGGGATGCAGGACAGTTCTGTGTGTCAGGGATGTGTCTTGCTCCTCTTTGCTGCCTACATGTTTGGAGCATGTTTGGAGTGTGGATTTCTATTCAGAAAGTGGAATTGATCAATCATGTTCCTGCAAATTGGCCTTGTTGGAAAGCTTGCAGAATGCCAATTGCAGCCTCAGTGAAAGTCATGGAAGAAATCACTAGGCAGCTATTGTTCATTGGTCAGTGTTTGATAATAGCTAAATTTAGTCCAAAAACAAGGTCAACATATGAATAAATTATCTAGTAAGTGGGAATTGTTTTATTTACTTACTTTACGGCACATTTCTTTTAAAATATACAAACTGGTCCAGGGGACATGAATCCTTAAGAAAATATGAGAAAGACAAGGGTTTGTAAAGCCACACCAGCATTCTGATCAATTTCATAGGCTTTAAGAGCTAAGAAGAGTGTCCAAACATAAATACAAAATGCGCTTGAAAAGGGATTTCAATGGATTCCACAGGTCTCAAGCAAACCTATGGCCCTGCAGCCTTCCTTCTGAGGATGACTTCTCCAAGAAGTCTATCTATCTGGCTGGCTATCTGGGGATTGATGACTACTGACAACGTTAACAGGCTGACTACCATGACTTTTTTCCGAGTGGCAGACATAGGAATTTTACTTTATCTTGTTAAACTTATTGTGGTGAGCAAGACCCCGGTTTTAAAAGTCTTTGGGTTCCCCCACAGGTTTAGCAGAGTTTGGGGTCAATAAATATTTATTGAATTTAATAAGAGCTGTTGGTGAGGAAGAACTCTACAGTGTAGTCATGCCTAAAAACCTAAAGTTGAACTTTCTCCACCCTGACCTTGGAATAGGTCAAGGGCCCCAGTGAGAGTGTGGGATCAGCAGCTCTACAGCTACCAAAAAATGGTTCAAGTTTGCATTGTCACGTGTACAGTGGATGCTTTAAAATCAAGGAACATCAAAATTATCAACAATGTGACATTGTGATTCGTAATAAATATTTATTTTGGACTTCTCTATTGTTTCTGGCTCCCAGCTCCCCAAACTCTTGGAATTTCCTAAGCAATAAGAGCAAGGGGAGCACCTTTTATTATAATATTTGGTCTTTTGCCATCAGTTCCTGAAGTGCTTCAGGGCCATAAAGGTGAAATAGGTGTCATGTTATTCATAGCAAGCCCCTTTCTACTACACCTGAGTTTAGATTAATGAGGTGACTTTTGGAAAACCCCTAGGTAACTAAGGTTGGAGGCTGGTTGCCATGGAAACCAATCAGATGATTAGAGGGCTGGGACATTCAGCACCAACCTCTCACCTGGGAAGGCGGTGTGGGGGGATAGGGGGTGACTGGAAATTGAGTTCAATCGTTAGTGATCAATGATATAACCAATTATGCCCACATAATGAAGCCTCCATAAAAATCCCTGAACTTCTGGCTTTGGAAAGCTTCCAGACTGGTTACCCAGAATGCATCCCCATGCTGGGAGAGTGGCACACCTCAAACTCCACAGGGACAGAAGCTTCTGTGTTCAGGACCCTTTCAGATCTCACCCTGTGTATCTCTTTGTTTTGGCTGTTTATTCCTATCCTTTCGTATCCTTTGTAATCAGTAATCTAGTAAGTAAACTGTTTCCCTGAGTTCTGTGAGCCACTCTAGCAAATTAATTGAGCCCAAGTAGGGGGTTTGGGGAACCTCCAGCTGATCGCCGGTTGGTCAGAAGCACGGGTAACAGCCTGGACTTGCGATTGGCATTTCAAGTGGGGGGCAGTCTCGGTAAGACTGAGCCCTTAAACTGTGGGGTCTGATGCCATCTGCAGGTTGATGTCAGAATTGAGCTTAATTTGTGGGACACCTAATCAGTGCCGGCTGAGAATTGCAGAATTGTTTGGTGGTATTGGAAAAAACACATCGGAAACAATTGCTTTGAATATTCTAGTTGGCTTCTTGTTTCTCAGTTTGGGTTTGTCCTTGGGGGTGGAAGAAATCTTCATGATCAATACATCCCAGCTTAGGAGAGAATGCTCAGCCATATTTTTGTTTCCCCCAAATATGACAGATGTATTTAGATGTGAGGAAAGGGACACTAACATGGGTCCTATGTGGGGGAAACCTCTACAGTGTCCACAGGACAGAAGGAGGAGGGGAGGAGAAAGACAAGGAAGCACTTTCCATTCTGTATGAAAAGTACAATAAACAATGCAGGGGAGCAAAGGTGAGTGTATCTTGGTCCAGTAAAAAATGAGAAAGGAGGGGTGGGTCAGGAAGGGACTCCTGAGGAAATGACACCTGGGCTGAGCTGTACTCACTGAGTTCAGTTACTTGTGGGCTAAGTTAATTACCAGTGAAAGCTGGTCATTGAAACGGCACCACAGGGACCCCATAACATGTGAGTTGGTCCTTTCATATATTGCCAACAGGAAAATATATTGAGGTAACTGTTTTCAATAATTATTAGATAATGCCTACCCTTTAACAAACCAGTTCACTAGGAGTCTACTCTCTGGATGTATTCTCAAAAGTTAACTAAAAATGGTTTTCTCTGGAGTTGAGGTGTGGGGAGGGTCTGGCCGTGAAGGGGGTCACACTCTCTGGGACAGTGCTGTGTGATTGCTAAAAGCAGCCGAATAAAACACTCTCCTGGAAGTATCATGAAAGGCAGACTTGTCTGTGTGAGCTGGCGGCCCACTGGGGAGACTCAGGTGTGCACTGGATCAGCCGTCACCCGTGCCCCCCTTTCCTATTTCAGAGGAGAAGCTAAAACCTACAGAGCTCCTGCACAGCGTCCTTCTGAGGCCATGCCATACCTTTGTGGGCAGCTACTTCTGCATTTTCCCCAAATTCTAAGTTTCTTGATATGTTCAGTTTTTCAAAGAGACCCATGTTATTGTTTTCTTTTAAGCAACTGAGTTTTGTGATTCTAAGATGAATTTAGCTCTAATGTGGAATTGAGGGCATGGTGTTTGGGGAAGGGAAAGATAAAAAATCATGGTATGTTCGAACTAGCAACAACCATATTTTCTGGATGAGGGAACTGGGAGAGAAGGAGGCAGGTAGAGGTGACAAAGACATCATTTGGGAGACAGGCATCAGTGGATGTGAACGAGGATGAGGGCACAGCAATGGGAGTGCAGTTGCAGTCTGGAAAGGAGCCTGGTTGCCTTACTCGGGATGGTCGCTTGTAGGCAATCAGGTTCATGAGTTGAGTTCCTGGCAGCTGACACTGATAGAGGCAGAGTGCATTTTTCACAGAGCATATTTGCCCCTCAGGGCAGAAAGAGCAGGAGGTATTGTCCTGTGGGTCTAGGGCTAGCAGGACTGACTGATTAATCAGTCTCATTCATACTGCAATTTGTATGTGTTTTGAGGATGGCCAGGGAAGATGTTCCCAGCATGTGGGCAGGAAACAAGCCCACATCCTTGGCGGCCTCTTGCAGTACGCCCGGCGAGGCTGCACCTGAGTCCTGGCTGAGGGAGAGCAGAGCAGAGGCGGGAGGCTTCCAGTGTCAGAGTTGCCAGCCTTGTTTCTGGTTCCACGGGGTGTACTCTAAGTTAAGGAATAGAATTGGCTTCAGCACCTTTGGCCACGCTGAGTCTTGTCCCCACGTTCACACTCACAGGGCCAGCGCCTCAGATGTGTGAAGGGAAGAGTGCGGGGCGTGAGGCAGTGGTGCGTGGAGGGGTGGGGGGAGTGACTGTGCTCAGCCTCTGCTCCAGTCTGGCCTCTGGACTGTAAGACAGGGTTTTGGCACTAAGAGATACAGACCTCAAGCACTAGGCACCCTCCAGGAGCAAGACGCTCTACCGTCTGAGCGAGGCTTGGGAGGAAGGGAGTGCTGTGCAGGGTGCTGGGAGAGCACACTCAGCCCACCCATACCGACCCCCCTGGCCAGACTGCGGCCAGGGTGCTAACCTGCCACGTGCATGGTCGGATCTCATCGAATCCACTGGGCGGGTCAGGAATTATTTGAATACTCAGACTTTAAAAGCTAGCGTTGAAACTTCCGGTGCTTCGATGTCTAGTCACGGAAAGGCTTTGCTGGAAATAAGTATGCAAAGTATAAAATATACATCGTAGATGATGTATGGACACAGACCCAAGGTTGTGGCCTGAGCCACTGGAGCCACTTTGTCCTGGAGGAGCCAGCAATGCTACACCCAGATTCCTGACTCAGGGAAACTGAGATAGGGAGTGTTACTGTTTACGTTTCTAAGTTTGGATGATTTGCTTTACACAGCAGAGGTAAAATACACAATGTGTTACCTGATAGGACATGGTCTGTTTGCAGCCCCCTCAAAGTGGATCTTTTAGATCAGGAGCCCTGCCACGGGGCTTGATCTCTCTTCCACTGGGGCCTGCGTGGCTTTCCTCCATGACACTCATTTGGCTCCAATTCAGGGTCAGCCAGGTCTCTTCCAAGGCTGAGTTAGGTTATTCTGGGACCAGAAATCTCCTGAGGAATCACTGAGTTCTCCACTTTTTGGAGAATTCAGTCCCCATTAGCACTGAAGAAAGTGATACACAAGCCATCTTGGCAATTATTGACTTATGAGTTTACCATCATTATTTGGTCCTCAGAAGCCTCAACAATTTTGGGTACCTGGGGAAAAAAATCCAGTTTCTGGACCTGAACAGCTGGTGGTGACACCTCACAAAGCCTTGTCCAGGAGCTTAGCTAGCCTCTCCTTAAGGACATTCTGTGCCATCTCCATTTAATATCACCATAAGTCACCGAGAAAAAGATGGACTAGGAGTGGATCCCTCCCCTAGAGAGTCAATACTCAAGAAATATTTATTGAATGAATAAATAAGTTCCTTTTACATTGTTGATATAATTATGTATGTTTATATATTTATACCTATAGCTGTATGCCTCACTTTTCTATTTAACATTATTCTTGAAGTGTCTCCAGGCCATCTGCAGTCTTTGTAGACATCACTATGAGGGCAGCACCAAGCTCCATATGACGGTGGCCACTTATGGCTGAGCACTCCACCGGCTGGTCCACACTTGGTCTGCCCAGCATGGCTAGTGGCATATATTTGCTTCACAGGACATCTTTACTGTGCCTATGTTTAGGGGGTATTTTCTCTATTAATAATGTTGAGGTGTACATACATGTTCACTTGCATGAATATGTGTTTGCTTAGGATCGATCCCCAAAAGTGGACTCCTTGGGTTAAAAGGCAGCAAGAAAGACCACAGCAGCCATGACATGCAGGGGCTGGCCTGGCGTCACAGCGGCGCCCTGATGTCCTCCTGTGGAACACAGGGTGAGTAGAAACAGGATGTGCTCTGCGTGAGGAGTGCTGTTCTCTGCCAGCGATGTGTGGTGTGTCAGGGTCAGCAGGAGGCTGTGTGGAAATGGTGGTTGGTAGGGGAGGAGGAGGCAAGATCCATGGTGACCTTTAGCTTCCCACCATATTGTTTTCTTTGTAGGCTTAGAAAATGCTACATCACCAATCAAATTACCTAAAGGATTTTAAAATTAAACTTGACAAACTGATACTAATATTCATCTGGGAGAGAAAATGAACTAGGAGAATTTGAGGAATTTTGAAAACTATATCAATTAAATTGGCAGAGATAGATGGAGCAATGGAACAAAAATCTTAGATCTAGAAAAAGCCTATGTACATCTGGGAATATGGTAAATGTTGAAGGAGGTGTCTTATATGGGTGGAAAAAAGGAATAGATTAATGTTTAGAGAACTGATTACAAATTTGGGGAAAAAAATTGGCAGCTCTCTTTCCCACCATTAACAAATATAAATTTCACAAATATTAAAAAATTAAACATTTAAAAAATTATAAAGGTAGAAAATGGCTACCTATATACCTATCATCTACCTTACGACTATATTTGTAAGTTACACATGTGACCAAAACAAATGAATAAGAATGGGTGCATTTTTTAAATGTGAAAAAATAAGTAAACTGAAATTGGCTTACAATTCAACTCTCAAATTGGAGAAGTCTTATCTCAAATGGGGTCCCTGCATGAACTCTCAGTTGTTCTCAAGAGTGCCTGCCTTGAAAATGGTCCCCTTCGTTGCTCATTTTGGGAAATATTGATGCATACCACAGATGGTACAGGAACCCAAGGGAGAAACAAGAGCTGACTGGTAGAGCTGGTCACTCCTCTACCGCCCCCTATTGTTGTTATTGCAAACATCATCCCCACTCTACACCAGACGGGATCATGGAGAAACTAAACTATTCTTCATTTTGTGCAAATCCATTCTATGCACATCAAGATTTATAAGCCATCATATGGGAGGTAATGACTCTTTTTACCAAACTATCCAATAACATTTTGGGTTGCATATCTAGGTACAGAGAGTGCTGGTTAGGCTGATCCCACTGCAAGGCACAGACATGAGCTCTAGTTCTGACAGTTTATGCTGAGAGGCCGGAAGCAGCAAAGACTTTTCTTGGTGGCTGCAAAACCAGACTTCACACAGGCCTGGGGCACTGACCATGGCCATTCAGATGTAACCACAAAACCTGGGGGCCCCATGATTTTGCCACACTTCAAAAACAGGCACTCTCTCATTCCTCTCTTCTGTTTCTCCCATTAATTCTTTGCTTTCTATTCTTCCTTCTTGTACTGCATACAGAATTCCCTGATAATTGATTTACTTGGTCCAGCTAACCACAATCCAACATGGTGTTGTTGGATTTGTCAGAGTTCTCAAAGCAGACCCTAGAAGTGCACCCCCAGTGCACTTCTAGAGCGTCACTTATCCAATACAGTAGCCAGTAACCACGCGTGGCTATTTTAAAGTATATTTATTAAAATTAAGAAAAAAACCAAAAACCTAGTCCTTCAGTTGCACTACCCACATTTCAGGTGCTCAGTAAGCATCTGTGGTTTGTGGTAGCCTGTTGAATGCAGGTCCAGGACATTCCATCATGGTCAGAAGTGATACTGGACAGCAGCACTGCTCTGGAGGCTGGCCTTTGGCCGGCCCAGATCTAGGTGGAGTCAGTCAGAGGTGTAGCAAAGGGTCTCAGGACAGGGGACACAGCAACGTTTGCACGTGGGCTTGCATCTAACCTCTGTAGACAGTGGCCAGAGCTTGGAGGCTACCATGCACATAAAGTTGGGTCTGGCACACAAGTACTGTTTCCCTGCAGTGGAGAATAAGGCTAGAGAAACCCTGGACCCAGCGCTGGCCAGCATTCCCAGACTGCATTCTCAATGCCCTCTGGCAGTCAGCCGCATTCTTTGTGTTGCAATTTTTCTCATCCATAAATGACAAGATTTTTTTATTTCTCAGCCAGCTTCTAGCACAGTGTGGAATCCAGTGACTTGATCAGTGAGAGCAGCAGAATGCTAGTTTTCTCATAACTAGGCTAGTACTTTGGTCACTAGAGGCCTCACTAAGGGAAAAAGAATGTGCTCACTGGCAAGTTCTAATGAGAAAGAAAATACTGTGGTCCCTTCGTCAATAATTTTCCAAGTGACTCCTAAATACATTAAAAAAATATATATGTTATTGATTGTTCTTAAGAGGCTTCCTTTTTTCTTTAATGTTTTATATTTCAAAAGTATTATGTTCTTTTTATACATAATTCAAATAATATGAAGCATATAAAGTGAAGAATCATACAAGCTTCCCTCTCCCCATGCTAATACAAATGGGCTCAACTGTGCTCACATTACAAGCACCAGCGGCCTCTCCTGGGTTTTACCCTGGCAAATGTCTGTACTACACTTGCAGACCCCTCCTCCTGTCAGTGGCAGTGCTTTTGAAGTACTTGTACCCTGATTTATTCAACTAGGTCTCCTATGGGTGGAGATTTAAAGTCCTTCCAGTTTTCCCTATTAAAACTTATATTGATGCAGATACAGTTGCTAATTTACCTTTGTGTACTTTTGTGAGTCTGCAAGATCTCGTCTTAGAAGTAGAATTGCTGGGTCAGAAGGCATACACATTTTAAGTTTCGGCAGCGATTGTCAAATTATCCTCCCCTAAAATCTTGTCAATTGACATGTCTGCAGAAATTTAATGAAAGTGGCTGTTTCTCCAAGCTTACCTTCCTCAAACTTTTCAGACCTTGCTAGGTATCTTTTTTTTTGCTTGAATTTGCAAATTTTTAATGATCAATGAGGTTGAGAATTTATCATATGCCTATAGCCAAATGTATTTCTTCTTCTCTGAGATAACATTCATATCTTTTGTCGTCTTTCTGCTGAGTGTTTTTTTTTTTTAACATCTTTATTGGGGTATAATTGCTTTACAATGGTGTGTTAGTTTCTGCTTTATAACAAAGTGAATCAGTTATACATATACATATGTTCCCATATGTCTTCCCTCTTGCGTCTCCCTCCCTCCCACTCTCCCTATCCCACCCCTCCAGGCTGTCACAAAGCACCGAGCTAATATCCCTGTGCCATGCGGCTGCTTCCCACTAGCTATCTACCTTACTACGTTTGTTAGTGTGTATATGTCCATAACTCTCTCTCGCCCTGTCAAAGCTCACCCTTCCCCCTCTCCATATCCTCAAGTCCGTTCTCCAGTAGGTCTGCGTCTTTATTCCTGTCTTACCCCTAGGTTCTTCATGACATTTTTTTCCCTTAAATTCCATATATATGTGTTAGCATACGGTATTTGTCTTTTTCTTTCTGACTTACTTCACTCTGTATGACAGACTCTAGGTCTATCCATCTCATTACAAATAGCTCAATTTCGTTTCTTTTTAAGGCTGAGTAATATTCCATTGTATATATGTGCCACATCTTCTTTATCCATTCATCCGATGATGGGCACTTAGGTTGTTTCCATCTCCGGGCTATTGTAAATAGAGCTGCAATAAACATTTTGGTACATGACTCTTTTTGAATTTTGGTTTTCTCAGGGTATATGCCCAGTAGTGGGATTGCTGGGTCATATGGTAATTCTATTTGTAGTTTTTTAAGGAACCTCCATACTGTTCTCCATAGTGGCTGAACCAATTCACATTCCCACCAGCAGTGCAAGAGTGTTCCCTTTTCTCCACGCCCTCTCCAGCATTTATTGTTTCTAGATTTTTTGATGATGGCCATTCTGACTGGTGTGAGATGATATCTCATTGTAGTTTTGATTTACATTTCTCTAATGATTAATGATGTTGAGCATTCTTTCATGTGTTTCTTGGCATTCTGTATATCTTCTTTGGAGAAATGTCTATTTAGGTCTTCTGCCCATTTTTGGATTGGGTCGTTTGTTTTTTTGTTATCGAGCTGCATGAGCTGCTTGTAAATTTTGGAGATTAATCCTTTGTCAGTTGCTTCATTTGCAAATATTTTCTCCCATTCTGAGGGTTGTCTTTTGGTCTTGTTTATGGTTTCCTTTGCTGTGCAAAAGCTTTGAAGTTTCATTAGGTCCCATTTGTTTATTTTTGTTTTTATTTCCATTACTCTAGGAGGTGGGTCAGAAAGGATCTTGCTGTGATTTATGTCATAGAGTGTTCTGCCTATGTTTTCCTCTAAGAGTTTGATAGTTTCTGGCCTTACATTTAGGTCTTTCATCCATTTTGAGCTTATTTTTGTGTATGGTGTTAGGGAGTGATCTAATCTCATACTTTTACATGTACCTGTCCAGTTTTACCAGCACCATTTATTGAAGAGGCTGTCCTTTCTCCACTGTACTTTCCTGCCACCTTTATCAAAGATAAGGTGTCCATATGTGCGTGGGTTTATCTCTGGGCTTTCTATCCTGTTCCATTGATCTATCTTTCTGTTTTTGTGCCAGTACCATACTGTCTTGATTACTGTAGCTTTGTAGTATAGTCTGAAGTCAGGGAGCCTGATTCCTCCAGCTCCTTTTTTCGTTCTCAAGATTGCTTTGGCTATTCGGGGTCTTTTGTGTTTCCATACAAATTGCGAAATTTTTTGTTCTAGTTCTCTGAAAAATGCCAGTGGTAGTTTGATAGGGATTGCATTGAATCTGTAGACTGCTTTGGGTAGTATAGTCATTTTTGCAGTATTTACTCTTCCAATCCAAGAACATGGTATATCTCTCCATCTATTTGTATCATCTTTAATTTCTTTTATCAGTGTCTTATAATTTTCTGCATACAGGTCTTTTGTCTCCTTAGGTAGGTTTATTCCTAGGTATTTTATTCTTTGTGTTGCACTGGTAAATGGGAGTGTTTTCTTGATTTCACTTTCAGATTTTTCATCATTAGTATATAGGAATGCAAGAGATTTCTGTGCATTAATTTTGTATCCTGCTACTTTACCAAATTCATTGATTAGCTCTAGTAGTTTTCTGGTAGCATCTTT